GTTGGGAGTTGGTAATCTTTGAGACCCAGGATTTGGGGAGCTGTGCCAGATGGGATGGTAAGAATTATCTGCCCTCCAGGCGGGGAACCCCAAACTCAGAGTGAGTCTTTCCCTCAAGCCTGGGCAAAAAAAAAATCCCTAATCTTCCATCTTCCCAGAGGGCTCACTCCCCAAGTGCCTTCCACTTCAGTGGGCAAGTTCCTGCAGACCAAAGAGAAAGGGTGACCAGCCTGCCAACTTGGGAGTGGAGAATGTCCCAGGAGGCAGGAAGGGGCTGTCAAGACCCAGTGATGTAATCATTGGATTCTGATGTCCCAACTTGCTGCTGTCACCACCAAAGGCAATCATTTTCCCCTTGTGAGTGCCCCTCCCCTCATCTGCCTTCATATTGAAGGTTCTGGGTTTTTACTGTTTTTATTTTGTTATTTCTCCTCCTTTTTCCCCCCTTTGTCCAGATTTTGTGTGTTGACGGGTACCTGTTTCCACCCTCCTGTTGGGAATAAGGACCCATTGATATGTTCTAGAACAGTGCCTTGGAAATGCCACAGCCCCAGACAGTTCCATTCCCCTTCCCTCCCCCCAGCACCCTCAAGCTGTGTCCAGAGTGGAGGGGAGGGAGGGAGGTGGTAAAGGGGGCTGTTCAACAGAGGCAGACGGCGGTGCTTGGAAGGGGGTTCTTAAATTATATTTAAAAAGAAAATTTTTGTATAAATAAAAGAAAATGGGATATGTCCCAGTACTGAGTGAGGGTGACTGGGAGCTGGGATAGGCTAGGTCTCTGAGAATAGGGGACCCCTTGGGTCTGGATTTGGAGGGTCAGGTGAGGGAAGGGGCTGAGTGTTGGTTCCCAGCCCCAGGGTGTTATGTTTGGGTTGGTGGGAGGTGAGTCACTGGCAGCTGGTGCTAACTGCTCCAGCTGCCCCTGCCAAGAGCCTCAGGCACCTCCGGGGTGGGGCTGCCATCTCCTGCCCCTCCTCTGTCTCCTTTGCCTTGGCAGGGGCTGTATGAGGGAAGCCCCAGCCTATAGCCCACAATCCTCTCCAGCTCTGGCAAAGGGAGAGGGGGGGCGGCACAGGTGAGAGAGGTCCAGCGAGGTGTCCACAGCTGGGGCCAGATGTCCGTCCACAGCTGCGGATGGTTTAGTGGTCATGGGAGAGCCTGGGCTGTGGGGGAAGGGAAAGATGGGGAGTGGCTGAAAGGGGGGCCCTCACACGTGTGTACAGACGCCAGGGAGCTCTCAGGACAATTCCCCCATTCAGGATGCTGCCCAGGCAGGTTTTCCTGGCCTCCTGGGAAGAGGAGGGGGAGCTGCTCCCTCCCAGACAGGAAGAGGAGAGCCATCCCCCATCGCAGCTTCCACACTCCCCCTTGTAGTGTCTTCTTGGCTGCCCCTTCTGCCTTCCCCTTGGGACACCTGCGAGGGCAGGCTGAACCCCGGCTCGCCTAATGGAGCTGTAACCTTTCCCACAGCTGCTCTCTGCGGTGGAGGGAGGCAGAGCCCAGGCAGTGTTCCTGTCTATGATTTCCCATGCTGTGAGCCTTTGTGAAGCCCCCAACGTGTGTGTGTGTGTATTCAGCTCTGTTGGGGGGTTATGTCCATGTGGATGTAGGTGTCCACAGAGGCCAGAAAGAGTATGCCAGATCTCCTGGAGCTGGAGTTTCAGGCTGTTGAGACATGGGAACTTAATTCTGGTTCTCTTTAAGAGCAGCAAGGGCTCTTCACCACCGCTGAGCCATCTCGCTAGTTTCTTGGCTGTTTGTGTGAAATAGAGACAAACAGACAGGGTCTCTTCGCTGACCTGGAGCAGTACACTAGCCAAGTGGGCTAGGCTGGGTGGCCAGCAAGGTCTGGGAATTCAGTTTCTTCTGTCCGCAGTTGTAGAATGCTAAGCCCACACTGCCACCCCTGTTGCTTGGCCCCCTCTTCCACTGCAGACAGACTCCTGACTAAACTAGCTCTCTCCCCAACCCCTCACACACATATTTTGTGACCAGGGCTTGCTATATAGTCCAGGCCAGCCTGAACTCACTATCCTCCTGCCTCAGCCTTTGGAGTGCTGGGATAGGCACAAAATCACACTAAGTTCTTTGTCTCCTCTCTTCCTGGAGGGTGGGAGGGGCTCAATACTACAAGGAAGGGGAGTGTCCGGGGCACCAGCCCAGCCGACTGCCCCACACATACCCTGGGGAAGAATGAAGATGAAGGCCAAAGGAGCAGAGCTGCAAAGATGGCGGCCAGGTGGAGAAACTGGGCTCAAGGCAGGAGGCTGCTCTACAGAAGTGCACTGTGCCTTCCCGAGTAAGGGGAAGGAAAACACGGCCATGCAGGGCCCTCCATGCCCAGCCCTTTCAATACTTTGGGTTTGGCTGGCTTCAGGAAAGGTCCCCAAAGGTCTAGTTGTCACACAGATGGATTAATCATATCTCCCCAGGGCATGTGTCAACCTGCTAAGTCCCAGTTTCTTGAGGTCCTAACAGTCCGATCCACCACTGGGTTTTGCCTAAGCAAGGAGGAACCTAGAAGGAGACAGACTCTCAGGGTGTAAAGTATACACCTTGGCCTTCTCTGGCTGGGCTAGGTGGTGGTCCTTTCTACTTGGGTTGTCAGAAGGACTCCCAAAGCCTGTAACCCCACCCACAGTTTCCATGGTAACCAACTGAAGGGCTCTTTGGAGAAAGGGAGGAATGAAGAGGGTGTGACACCCTCTGGGAGGAGGCCAATTAGAAACAAAACCCGGAATAGCCTTGCTTCCCCCTAGTGGAGGAACTCAGAGGCCGAGTCCTCCATGAACCTGGGCTCTTAGACCTGTGGAGTCCCTAGACTCAGGAGCCTGAAGTAGGAAGACTCTGAGCACAATGAGTGCGAGGCCAGCTAGGGTTATAGAGGAAGTCTGAAGCCACCTTAAGAAAGGGGCATATAGCAGTGAATGGCTCAGCTGGTAAAGATGCTTGCTGCCGAGCTTGAGTTTGGTGCCTAGGTAAAGAGAACTGACCCCCCTCTAGCTGTCTTCTGACCTCTACACGTATGTGTGAGCATCAGAACAAATAAAACCCACTGGGTGCTGGAGAGATGACTCGGTGAAGTGTTGCCCATTTATCCCCATGGCCTGACGTAGCAGTGCGCACTGTACAACAGCAGTGGGGAGCGGCCGGGAAAGATAGGTGGATAGATATGTGGGAGCTGGCTGGCCAGCTAGCCTAGCTGCTGGGCAAAGAGACGGTGGAAGGGGCCTGAGGAATGACAGCAGGGCTGTCCTCTCCTGCTATATCGTGAGTGTGTACACAGGGAACTGTGCAGCTGCTGGGCGAGAAGCGTGATAGGGTTCAGGATGTTGGGCTGAAGAGACTGCTCCATGCTTAAGAGCACTTGCTGCTCTTCCGGAGGATCTGAGTTTGGTTCCCAGCACCCACAGCAGCTGGCTTAGAACTGCCTGTGACTCCAGTGTCCTCAGGTTCTGGCTTTATGAGCATCTGCACACATACGGCAGACATTCTCTCCTACACGCACACACGCACACACAATGAATAAAGCAAAGTTCTGACTCGGGGTGTTCAGAGGGAAGCTCCCGCAGGCTCAGGAAGTAAACAATTCAGGACATCCCTCGAGCCGAGCAGACGCACTAGGCTCCTCTTGGCCCAGCCTATATCAGCAGTAAGGACTGCTGAGAACACTCGGACAAGCTGGGGATGCCCTCCAATCTGTCAGGCTGCCTGCAAGTTGTGCGGCGAGCACCGGGTCTCCAGCTTCCATGAGCCGGCACGGCTGCTGTGACCGCTCATCGACACTCATTAGTTCACCACGCTGGAATTGGGTGGTGTTGCCACTTTGGTCCATTGTTGGTTCTCTGTCTGGGATAAGCAGATGTCTGTTCATGTCTTTACAGGAACGGTGTCACACAACAGCACCTGTACACACACGGACACATATGTGCACACACTCACACATGTTTTTTAAAATGGGGTCTCTGTGGTAAAGAAAATGTACGATGAGCACTGGAGAAATGGCTCAGGTGCAGAGTGCTTGCCTAGCATTCATAGAACCCTGGGCTCCAGCGCCAGCACACAAATTATGAACAGTGACATGTGCCTGTAATCTCAACAGGTGGAGGCAGGGCAAGTCCAAAGTCATCCTCAGTTATATAATAATTTGTCCTAAAAAAACAAACAAAGAAAGAAACAAACAAACAAAGCATGTGCACGGGAAGCCTTTTCTCCTGACTTGCAGGGCTCTGGGGCCACAGTTCATCCTTCCTTCCAGGAGTTTCCGTCCCTGCCCCTTCTGTCTTCCATTGCTGGTTGTCAGGACTGAGTGGCCCACCGGTCTGGCTTTCAGTGAGTGACCCTCTCCTTCCTGAGCCCTGAGCCTCTCTCCCTATGGACCTTTGCACAGCATCCAGCCTCTAGGGACCCACACATACCTCTTTGTCTCCCAGACAAACTGCCTCCACCACAATCAGGGGAAATTCACATCTAAAAGCATTAAGTATGGGGCATCAAAGATTAAAATATCTAAAAGCATTAAGTATGGAGAGCTGGTACAGTGGTTAAGAGCACTGCCTGCTCTTTCAAAGGTCCTGAGTTCAATTCCCCAGCAACCACATGGTGGCTCACAACTGTCTGTAATTAGATTTGGTACCTTCTTGAGAAAGAGACCTGGTCAGTCATCCTCATAAATTTAGATCATGAAACCCAATATGGACAAATTCAATAGAACCTCCATACATGGGCTGCCCATGCATGCTTCAGCATTGCCAGGGCATAAAATAAGTAAATAAATAAATAGCGAGATATCTCCGTGGAGAAGGCATTCACTGTGAAGTGTGGTGACCCAGGCTCAATCCCTACATCCCACAAAATAAAAGGAGAGAACTGATTCCCACAAATTGCCAGACTTGAGAGCCATGTACACCCCACATATACATAACACACAGCCACACAATAACAAATGTAAAAAAATATTTAAAAAAATAAATTATTTCATCTGTTTTTCTGAGGACAAGTCAGAACTTGGTGGCTCTGAAGGCAGGCTCTGGAACATCTGAGGAGAGAGCAAGGAAGTCCACATTGGAGGAGGACTCACCTCTTGGCCAAGACTTGACGCCCCCAGAGCTGGCTCTTACCTGTATCCTCCAGCCTATGTCTATTCCGTCTCAACAGTTTCTCCCTAGAGGTGGTGGGGAACAGATGAGGAGCACGGCTTTTGAGTGCATTAGGCCCCACCCTCCCACTGCCCGTTCACTCCCTGTACCAGGACTTACCTCCTCCTCCTCGCTATGGCAGTTCTCACGTAAATATACACTCTAAGCAGTAAGACGGGGACTAAGAGCATCACAAGCACTCCTGGCAGGATGGCCAGTAAGCTGGATGATTCTGAGTGTAGAAAGGAAATAGCAGTGGGGCTGGGAGTGGGCTCAGTGGGTAGAGTGCTTGCCTTACACGCTCAGAACCCTGGGGCCCATGTAAAAGTCAGATGTGGTGGCTCATGCCTGTCTTCCCAGCAATAGCAAGAGGCCCCCCTTATCCTAGCCCTAGTGGGTGAAGACAAGTGAATTCCTGGACACTGGTTCAGTTTCAGGCCAGTGAGACTCTGTGTGTGTGTGTGTGTGTGTGTGTGTGTGTGTACCTGCGCGTGCGTGGACGCGTGCATGTGTGTGTGCATGCACTCATGGAGGTCAGAGGATAACCTGCAGGATTAGTTCTCTATTACCATCTGAATCCCAGGGATCAAATTCAGGAGGCAAATTGGAGACAGCCACGTTGACTCACTGAGCCCCTGTCTTAACTAAGAGGTGGGAGACATCTCAACAGCCACACCCAGGTTGTCCTCTGGCCTCCTGTGCAGACTGTGCCTGTACATATTCACACCCTCCCCCACGACAGGGGTAGGTGAAAGGGTGGGAGGCTGAGGGAAATGGGAGGGAGCACTGCCTTCAGGTCCTTAGCTGTCAGCCTAAGGCATCTTGGTCTCCTAAATCTCTGGATGTCTAGTTCTTCCTCCAGGAGGCTCAGGGACTCGAAGATCTGAATGCCCTTGTCCAATAGCCCTTATTATCCGCAGTCACAACTCCCTAAGACTGTATGAGGCTATGTGTGTTTGTGTGTGTGTGTGTCTGTGTGTCTGTGTCTGTGTGTACAGGAGCAGATGTCTATTCGTGTGTTTATACACACATGTGGAGGCCAAAAGACACCCCCTGCTGGTATTCTTCAAGCACAATCCTCCTTCCCCAGCACTAGGATTACAAGTGTACACCCAAATTTTCGTGTGGTTCTGGGGATCAAAGTTGGGTCTTTGTTCTTTCAGAACAAGTAACTGTATTACCTCCCCAGTCCCCCGCTTCTTGTTTATTTGCTTGTTTTATTGATTTGTTTGCAGCATGATGTCACGTGGCTCTGGCTGGCCTTGAACTCACTATTTTGCTGAAAATGATCTTGAACTTGTTCTGACCCTATACTCCCACCTCCCTTGTACTAGGATTATTAGCACACACCTGGCTGAACTTCCACCCCGCACCTGTTTGCTTCACTCTGGCTATTCCTGTCCAGGACCTCTCCATCACCTTTTGACTTTCCATATATATTTGTTATTTATTTATAAGAAATATACATATTTTCCATATATAAAAATATATAGCACAATGTAATTTAAAGTATATTAATATACAATGCACCCAAAATATTTATATATAATCATAAACTATATGTGATAAGTAATTATTTTAAATATTCCCTATAGTATATAATACACAATATTGCTTATGCTATATTACTTATTATACTATATATAATAGCTTGTGATAGATTACTAATATTGTATAGTATACCTATCATTGTCACCACATCACATATCTGTATATATAACAGATATTATAATTGTAAAAAAATTTAATCAAAGTTAAATAAATTAAAATTAATTAATATATAAGATACACGAAAATTTTAAAAAAGTAATATATAATAGATACAATGTATATGAAAATTAAAAACAGTAATTCTGTGGCAATGGCCAGTGGGACACAGGCCTGGGATGTGGTTGTTACCTAGCTTTTTTCTGGATGGGATATCCCGAGGTTCTGTGCAGAATTCTCCTCCATAACCCAGGTCACAATGGCAGATGAAGGTGTCCCCTTGCTCCTGACACTGGCCATCATTGTGACAGGGGTTCTGTAGACAAGGGCTATCTGCAAGGGCAGAAGGGTGTGAGGGGATCCCAATAGGATATTCACAGTGTAGGAGATGCCTGGCTGTGGGACAGGCCCCAGGAAGAAAGCAGCAGTCACCAAAGCTGCTCTGGGGGCCACTCAGCAATCTAAGTCTTAACCCTGCTACCCTGGGTTCAGGGAATCTGCTTAGCCTCCCGAACCCCCGCATGTGTGTGTGTGTGTGAAGGTCCAGAGGTCAACTTCAGGTGCCATTCCTCAGCTCTCACCCACTTGCTCGTCTGTCTGTTTGTCTGTTTGTTTGTTTTTCAAGACAAGGTCTCTCTGTAGCTTTAAAGCCTGTCCTAGAACTCACCCTGTAGACCAGGCTGGCCTTGAACTCACAAAGATCTGCCTGCCTCTGCCTCCTGAGTGCTGGGATTGGATTAAAGGCATGCACCACTGTACCTGTCTGGAACCCTATTTTCATTGCTCATAAAGTGGGGTGTTGTGCTTTCCACTAGGTAAGGATCAAAGTCTATCCTGGGGCAGAGCTCTGCACGGCCGGTACTAAACGCCTGCTAAGAGATGGTTCTTTTCAGACTTCCTGACATCAAGCAGGAATCCCACCCGGGCAGGAATCTGACTCAGGGAGGGAGGGTAAGCCTGGTGTTAGAGACCACAAGGACCCAGGCTCACCCCGGAAGCAGCCTCGAGTAAAGTTGGCCACGGTGCAGGCCTCTCCAGCCCTGCAGCCATAGGGCTCACACAGCAGGGTCCCCTGGCTTGCGCAGGTGCAATGCTGGGAGCAGTCATCAGTCACATAGCTGTCACCTAGCTGGAAAAGAGGAAGTGAAGGCAGCAGACATTCTAGACTCATCCTAGATCTCATTCTCCATACCTGGATTCCCAGGCCTCCGCTGCCCAGACCTTGTAATAGAGGCCATTGGTGGTGCAGCCGCACTGTGTCACTGGGAGGCTCTGGGTATCACTGTAGATGTAGCCGGGGATGGTGGCACAGCCTTCCACGCAGGGGCCTTCACAGGCCTTGGGGGTCACAAATTTGGCACAGGACGCTGGGCAGGGCGTCATACAGGGCTGGTACACAGTATTGGCAGGGCATGTCATGGCTGAGGGGATAGAAGCATGGTTAGGAGCTGGCTGGCCTTGGGACTGGTGAGTAAGAAACAGAAAGCAGGGTATACGGTCATTCAACAGAGCACAGGGCTCCCTGGACACAGGGAAGCTAGGGCGAGCAGGCCTGTTCCACCTCAAGTGTTGTCTGGAACATACGATGTTTGATGAAAACAGATGGACAAGGTAGGGTGGGTACAGCAGCACATAATCCCAGCACTCAAGAGCTGATCAGGAAGGGCACCAGGAGCTTGAAGCCAGCTTGGGCTATGGAGTGAGATTTTGACGCAAAAGCCAAGAACAGGAGCTGGAGAAAGAGCTCAGCAGTCAGGAGCTCGATCCTGCAGAGGATGCTGGTTCTGCTCCCAGCGCCCACATGGCAGTTTAGGACCACCTGTAACTCCAGCTCGAGAGGCTCTGACACCCTCCTCCCACCTCAGGGCCTCAGGGTGCACACGGTGCACAGAACGCATGCAGGCAAAGCACTCATACATATAAATCAAATAAAAATCAGTAAAGTTTTAAAATAAATCCACCCCGAAGCATACACGGGATAGCGCGGCGGTTAAAGCGCTTCTGCTCAAGTCAGGTGTGGGGACTTGAGGAAACCTGGGGGTTGATAGGCAGGCAGCACTACCTCATCACCAGGCACTGGATGAGAGAGAGAGAGAGAGAGAGAGAGAGAGAGAGAGAGAGAGAGAGACCCTGTCTTAAAAAACAAGGTGGGGTTAGTGAGATGGTTTAGTGGGTGAAGGCGACCTGACTGGATCCCTTCCCACATGGCGGAAGTTGTCTTCTGTCTTGTGACCTTCACATGTGTGCTGTGGGACATGTGTGCTGTGGGACATGTGCACCCACACATACACACAAAATAAAGAAATGTAACTGTCCCCCACCAAACAAACAAAAGAACAAAGTAAATGGTTCCTATTCTCTGGTCTCCACACATATGTCTGCATGCATCCAAACACACATGGACACACACATATATAAACATACAAAAAATAAAAAAAGAGAAAACACAACAACATAAAAAAATGGGCAGAGAGGAGGAGGGGATTGGACAGCAGAGGAGTGGATGGGAGAGGGGTCAGTCTGGAATCACTTGCTGCCTTGAACTAGGGGTAGAAGAATCAAGGCCGAAAGGCCACGGTGAGGGCGGCGGCAGCAGCAGAGCTGAGCAGACAGCAGAATGGCTGAAGAGTGAGAGCCGGCTGCTGGGCAGAAACAGAGCCTCACCACAGTGCGTCTGGTCCCGCCAGCCAGTCGTGTTGGCACCTGCCTCCTGGCAAATGATTGCGTATCCACTGAGGACCCGGCATCGAAACTCCTCTTCTTCTTTGGTTTTCCAACCAGTGCACACGTCGGACATACAGTGTCTGGGGTAGAAGGGGAGGGGTGGAGTAGGTGTGCTTTAGAGAGGGGGAGCAAGGAGAGCCAGCCTTGTGGAAAAAGGGCCCCGGCGAGGGGCTGGGGGCTGGGGGCTGGGGACATGGCTTAGCTGACCAAGTGCCTGCCTTGCAAGAATAAGAAAGGGCCTGTTTGATTCCCAGTATCCATGCTAAAAACAAGCAGGGTGTGGTGAGGTGCTTGTAATTCCAGTGCTGGTGAAGGGGAAACAGGAGGGTCCCTGAGGCTCACCAGCCAGCTATCTTAGCCTAATCAGTCAGCCTTAGGCTCAAGTTAGAGACTTGTCTCAAAACAATGTGGAAGCTGGGGAGGTGCCACTAGGAAAAAGTACCTGCTGATCAAGTATGAGGAATTGAGTTTGAATCCCACACATGCCTGTAATCCCAGCTTTGTCAGGGATTAAAAACAAAAGGATCAATGTGGTTCACCTCTCTCACAGTCTAGCCAAAAAATACTCAGTGAGCTGCAAGTTGGGTGTGAAACCCTGTCTCAAAGGAATAGGGCAAAGAGAGAAATCAGGACACCGGACTTTAACTCTTGATGACCCAACACTCACAAAAAAGGAAAGAAAGGTGGATGGCCCCTGAAGTCGATCTCTGACCTATGTAAACATACACGGCACATACACTGAACAAACAAGTGTGTGCCCATTCCCCTCGCAAATCCCCCCAAATAGATAATAAGCAAAAGCTGAGGAGGCGGCCAAGTTGGTAGAGTGTTTGCTTAACATGCGTGAAGCCCTGGGTTCCATCCCCTGTACCACAAAAGCAAGGCGTGGTGGCAAATGCCTGTAATCCCAGCACTTGGGAGGTGGAGGCAGAAGGATCAGAAATTCAAGGTCATCCTTAGGCATATATTAGCCTGGGCTACACGAGACCTAAATAAATACAGGATAAAATGGATTAAAAATAAAATAGAGAAGAGGGGCCCAGAACCCCACACAGAAAGTCGGCAGGCTAGAGGGGTAGCGTGGGGATAAAGGATTGCAGAAAAACAGGATGTAGAATGGGGGGAGTCAGTAGGAAATGGGGTCACAAGGGAGAAGAACCAAGTCCACAGAGCTAGAGGGGGTCAGAGAGGAAAACCACAGCAGGAATCTGGAACATTCTTGTGAGTACTGGGCCTGTAACTCACTGCTCGAAGGGCTCTGGGGCTACAATCTGGTGACAGGCAGCAAAGGGACCCTGGGGGTCCACCACCACCCTACAGGCCTGGGTGCTGCTGAGGAGCGCTGTCTGCTCTGGGCTGCACTCTGACGGCAGAGGGTCAGACTCTTCCTCTCCCCCATCTTCTGCTGGTAGGGCCCTGAAGTAGGGATGGCAAGGGGCTGTGTGAGTTTTGGGAGGGAGGTGAACTTGAGGGAAAAAATAAAAACAACAAGTGTGCAGAAAAGTGAAGGAAAGGACAAGGGCACATGGGGATTTCCAATGAGCAGCTGTTCCCACTGGTCACTAAGAGACCGAGTGACAGAAGGTGCGTCCGTGTTGAGGACCAGAGGGTTAAGGCAGTGGAAAAAGAGATTTGCTGGGTAGGAGATACCCAACTCAGAGGGACAGTGCCTGAAGAGAATCCCCCAGTGAGCGGCTGGGGTGTGGCTCAGTGGTAGAGCCCCTGCCTAGAATCCCCCAGTGAGGGGCTGGGCTGTGGCTCAGTGGTAGAGCACCTGGCTTTGATTCTCAGTAAGGGGCAAGGAGTGTGGCTCAGATTATGTGCACAAGTCTACAGGTCCAATCCTCTACAGCTCCAGTGAAAGAGACTCTTAGTCATCTCCCAATCCCCAGCCCTCACCTTGGCAATCGTAAGAGGGCTTTCACCATCTTCACCTCCCAACTGTTGCCAAAGGCATTGATGTTTGAGGTGAGTGTTCCACTGGGCAACATCAAGTCATTGTCTCGGTCCTTATCATAGTTTCCACACAGGCCCCGTATCATCCCACGGTACATGGTAGGCAAGGAGATCACTGCAGGACAAAGTAGTGAGCCAAACTCTGTTCTTCCCTCCACAATCTGAGTCTCCCTTTCAGGCTGGGGGCTCTATTCCCAGGTAAAACACATCTTCCTTTGACCTATCTGAGCTGTGCCTTTCCATCCCAGAAATGGGGTTCCTATTGTTCTGTGGTTATTGGCTTTATTGTTGCTATTTTCATTTTTGAGACAGGGTCTCATATAGCCCAAGCTGGACTCAAACAGGCTGTGTAGCTGAGGCTAGCTTCACACTCCTGACCCTCCCACATCCACCTTCTGACTGCAGAGACTACAGGTGTGCTCCAGCTGTGTAGCTGAGGCTAGCTTCTCCACACCTGCACTGTCAGTTTCTTGGTTAGGGTTTGATTGGGTTCTTTTTTTCTTTTTTCATTTTTCAAGACAGGGTTTCTCTCTGTAACAGCCTTGACTGTCCTGGAACTCACTCTGTAGACCAGGCTGACCTCAAACTCACAGAGATCCACCTGCCTCTGCCTCCTGAGTGTTGGGATTAAAGGTGTGCATCACCACTGCTTTGCTGGGTTTCTTTGGGACAGTATTGCACTATAAGCCCTGAATAGGCTGGAATTCACGATGTAGACCACATTGTCCCCAATCTCACTGGAGATCCTCCTGCCTCTGGCTCCCAAGGGTTGGGATTACGCATTATGCCTGGCTCAGAGACAGGTCCTCTGCGGTCTGAGTCTGTGCCCCAGTTACCTGCATTGTGCTTCCCATCGAAGTCCACCACCATTTCAAAGTCAGTGATGAGAAACAGCCGCTGCGCCCGCAGGAGGACCCACAGGTGGTCATTTGGACCGTAGGGGATTGCCACCTTTTGGTTGTTGACCTTGAAATGGAAGACTGCAGCTGCACAGCGTGCTAAGTGGGCCACACTCACTGCTGCTGTTGTCTGCACCTGGCTTTGCCCAGCCAGTGTCAGAGACGTCCCTTTATACCTCAGTTCCTTCCTTGCAAACACTCAGAAAGAGAGATGGCTCAGTGGGTAGAGGCATTTGCCACTGATCTGGAGGACCTGAGGTTGACTTCCAGGACCCACACGGTGGACTCAGAGAACTGACTCCTCCAAGATGCCTTCTGACCTCCACACATGCACACACACGCACAATAAATAAGAAAGTGTGACAGAGAGATGACCCATAGGTTGACAGTGTCTCCAGAGGACCTGCATTTGGTTCCCAGAATCCTCGTTGGACTGTTCACAACTACCTATAACACTAGATTCAGGGTTCATGACACCTTTTGGCCTCTGTGGGCACTCATACATATGTGGATATACTTACATAGACACACATAAATAAATAAATGATAAATAAATATTTAAAATTGAAATAAGTGTAAAAGAATGCCGCTTTTCTAACCAGCCCCATTACCACATGCACGCCATCCTCCCTTCCGCCCCCTCGCTCCCTTCATCCTCCCAGCCCTACTGCCCTGCGCCACTTTTCTTCCGGGAAGTGGCACCAACTCTGACTTCTAAGAGCAGTCTGCACCCCTGGAAACTCCCTGACAATGGAGCACTCTGGTTTTGCTAACCACAGACGGTCTACAGTGGTCTCCAGGTTCCCTTCAGGTCTGGTCCTGCCCCTTTACTCACCAAAGCCACCAGCCCTTCTTGGAGCTGTATTTTATAGCCATAGACGTTGGTGGTCACTTCATACAAGGTTGGACTCCCTTTGGGGGATATTTTGTTGCGCCCCTCTATGACCAGGTGCTCCATCCCCTCTGGGAGTTTGTCCACTGTCTTTATGAGATAGTAGTTCATCCGACCCAGGAAGCGGTAGGAGAAGCCATCGAAAGTGTGGTAATAGGGGTCCCCAAAGATGGTACATTTTTCCAGTTCTGTCAAGAAATGTGCACACTGGAAAGGACCTCAGCCCAGCTACCGGTCTCCCAGAATCTCTTCCTAACTGTGGTATTTCTGATTATCCTCCCTCTTAGGCCAGGGGCCCTGCCTCTGATTCTTTTAGTCACCAGAGCTCCTCTCCCCTCCCCTCCCCAACAGCTCCCTTACTGTTGGCCGCACAGTTACTGCTGCCATCATCACTGTGCTGGCAGTGGGACCCTGTGGGGCAGATGAAATTCCGGCACTGAACAACTCCGTCCATGCAGGTACAGCTCTGGGTGCAGCCACTGGAGAGCCAGGTCTTGCCTATCTGCAGAAGACATGGGAAGAGAAAGGGAGTGAGGACAGGGGTGGTAATTCTAAAGAGAAAGGCTTAGCTTCCATGAGAATGGTTTGCATTTGACCTCCCTACCTGCAGGTCCCATGTCTATCAAGCCAAAATATTTGAAACAATTGCCTCCAGCTTTTATATGTGCCTGGTCTTACTGTAGCTTGCAAGGCTGTGTTTGGTTGGTGTCCCTGGGAGGTCTGCTCTTTTCTGAACAGAAAAGGAGAAGTGGATCTGGGGAAGAGGGGAGGTGGAGGGAGGGAGGGAAGGAAGGATGCAGTCTGTGCGAGAGAAGAACAAATAAAAAGAAAACATAATAAAATAAAACTACCACATGGTCCAAATATCAAAAAATTGTATCTATGATTGGGGTAGATCTCAGTGGTAGAGCCCCTGCCTAGAATCCCCCAGTGAGGGGCTGCAGTGTGGCTCAGTGGTAGAGCCCCTGCCTAGAATCCCCCAGTGAGGGTCTGGGGTGTGGCTCAGTGGTAGAGCCCCTGCCTAGAATCCCCCAGTGAGGGGCTGGGGTGTGGCTCAGTGGTAGAGCCCCTGCCTAGAATCCCCCAGTGAGGGTCTGGGGTGTGGCTCAGTGGTAGAGCCCCTGCCTAGAATCCTCAAGTGAGGGGCTGGGGCACAGACAGTAGAGCCCCTAGAATCTCCTAGTGAAGGGCTAGAGTATGGGTCAGGGGTAGAGTTAATCACTACCATGAATGAGGCCCTAGGTTCTAGAAAGAAAATCTACTTGTAATTTTATGTCATTATTCCCTAAATAATACAGAAGAACTATTTGTGTAATCCCAGCCTCAGCCTTCAACTTTGGAGGACCCTCCCCTGTGCTCTCTGAACCTTGACCCCCTCCCTGAGAAGGGTCAAGGTAGCCTGCCAAACCTTGACCCTTCCCCAGGAAAGGTCAAGACCATTCTCACAGGCAATTTCAATGGCTCCCCAGAAAATAAACAAGTGGTTTTCCCTTTTGCTCTCTGGTGGGTGATGGTGTTGGCGGCTTCCGGTTCCCCTAAGGGTCACCTGGGAGCACAGGCATCTAATTAAACCTGGATATATTTAATTTGGTCTGATTTAGTTTAATTAGGATTATTGTGTGTTGGCGGAGTGGCTGGGTTAGAAAATATTCCTAACATCTTTGAGGTCCCACCAAGGGGTTGTTTTTCCCGCGGGTCCACAGTCACGTGTTGGAAACGCCCTTACCCTCCTCCGACTCAGCTCTCCGACTCAGCTCTCCGCCAGGCTAAATTTGGCTCCGGGCTAGATAGGCTTCATTGTAGTGAGTATCTTTTTCGTGCCTATACTACTAGGGTTTTGTTTGTGTTTACTTTTCTTGATTTTCGGGCTTTTGTGGAAGATGCGGTCCGCGCCAAAAGCCTCGCCCACGTGGTGAAAGCTGAGACTTTTGCTGAGGTGAATTTTGTTTGTGCAGGGACACCTGACAATTGATTTTCACAGCCCTGTTTGGGCCCAAGAGTTATTTCAGTGGACACACTGTGATAGACTTGAGCCACACAACTGGGCATAGACTTTTAAAATGGTCGCTTGCAATTCAAAGCTAGATCCGTTATTGCCCCTGGAATGTCTCTTAAAAAGTCTTTATAAATCTGTCTGATTCAATCTGTCCCAAGCGGCTAATTTCTCTATACACTAAGATTTGGCCTCAGTACGATCTTGACAATGGGACATGATGGCCACCAGAGAAAAGCCTTGAGTTTACTGTCCTTCAAGACCTAGAAAATTTTTGTTGTTGTGGAGACAAATGGACAGAACTCTCTCGTGTTCACGATTTTTGGGCAATGCATTCTTGCCCCTCCCTCAGTAGCCAGTGTCTTGCAGCACCAGTTTTTGTTGCTAGGTTCACGGTGCCTCCAGATTTCCAGTCATCTTGGAACTGAGATCCCGATAGCTAGGCCTTGACCATGCAGCCAGAGGCACTGGCCCCTCACTTACTCCCTGGAACCCTCACTACTCCCAACCCCCTATAGAGCAACATTCTTCATATTCCTCTCCCTACTCACCCTCACCTACTCCCTCCCTAGCCAAACCTGAAGTTCAAGGTCAACTTTCCCCTTACCCACCTTCTCCCCCCCCTCCACCACATCTTCCTACCCTCAGACCCCCTTTGCACAATGGGTTGACTCCCCCAATCCTCCCTGGTCTCCTTTCATATCAGATCCCACCATAAGCCTGTCCTTCTCTGTCCTCTCTGGAAAGTAGCGGGAGCCAATGGCATTATTAAAGTCCATGTTCCCTTTTCTCTTCCAGATCTTCCTCAGAGAGAAAAGCAGCTGGGTTCCTTTTCTGCTAATCCTTCTGCTTATATGAAAGAGTTTCACTGTCTGTCCCAGGCCTACGATCTAACCTGGCATGACTTCTATGTCATCCAGGCTTCTACTCTCACTCCTGAGGAGCGAAGTAGAATTCAGGCAGTAGCTAGACAGTATGCAGACCAGACTCATCTGTACGGTCCCTGTGGGGGAAGTAGCTGTGCCAGCCACAGAACCACACTGGGACTACCAACCTGGCCAAAGCGGTTGACAGAGGCGGGGCATCATGGTTCATTGCCTCCTTCAGGGTATGGAAATGGTCTCAGAAAAAGTAGTCAATTTTGACAAACTTCAAGAGATCACACAGCTAGCTGACGAAAACCTAGCCATTTTTTAAAATAGGTTACAAGAGAGCATGGTCCAATATACAAGGCTGGATCTAGCCTCCCCTGCAGGAGCCATGGTCCTAGCTACCCATTTAATTTCTCAGTCAGCACCAGATATTAGAGAAAAGTTAAATCCTATACAAGAATTGGTGAAAATGGCCTTTAAAGTTTTTAATGCCCCAGAAGAGAAAGCTGAGTCTTCCTGACAGATGAGGCCATAGCAGCTGCCCTAAGGCCAACAGGACTCCAGGAAGGGGGATATGGGAAGTCAACCACAAGGCTCCATCCCAGCAGAGCTCAGCTTAAGTCAACCTTGCCAGTAAGCTGCTTCAAAGGTGTTCTAGCCGGGCGGTGGTGGCACATGCCTTTAATCCCAGCACTCGGGAGGCAGAGGCAGGTGGATCTCTGTGAGATCGAGACCAGCCTGGTCTACAAGAGCTAGTTCCAGGATAGGAACCAAAAGCTACGGAGAAACCCTGTCTCGAAAATCAAAAAAAAAAAAAGGTGTTCTAAATGGCCATTTGGCACAATATTGCATTGGGCCATGCCCTATCTGCCAGCAACCTGGACACTGGAAATCACAATGCCCCCATGGGGGCTCGTCCTCTATGTCACACCATGGAGGTCCAGCCTCACCAACATCAACAAGTGAGACAGTGCCAGTCTTTTTCCAAAGAGAGCCTAAAATGTTGGTCATAAATATCACCTTAGCTTGCTGTCACCTCTTATACAAGCAGTCTTCACCCCTCCCCAAGAAGGGTCAAGGTAGCCCGCCAATCCTTGACCCCTCTCCAAGAAAGGTCAAGACTACTCCCACAGGCTATTTAGATTGTTCCCCAGAAAATAAACATGAGGTTTTCCCTTTTCCTCTCTGGTGGTCACATTGGCGACTTCCTGTTCCCCTCTGGGCCACCCAGGAGTGCAGGTGTCTAATTAAACCTGGATATCTTTTAATTTGGTCTGATTTGGTTTGATTGGGATTATTTTGCATTGGCAGAGTGGCTTGGTTAGGAAATATTCCCAACAATTTGTATAACTTTACATAGTCTTATTATAATTCATGTAGAATTATTTAAATCAAATAGGAAGATATATCAGTACTATGTATTTTACTTATTACTTGTGTGTGGATGTATGTGTGTGAATGCATGTGTTCATGTGTGTGTGTGTGTGTGCATGCATGTACACATATCTGCATGTGCATGTGTAGAGGAGGGCCAAAGGACAAGCTTTTCCTTAGGAACTGTTCACCTTGTTCTTTGAGGCAGGGTGTCTCATTAAGTCTTGAACTTGCTAAGTAGGCTAGGTTGGCTGGCCAGTGAGCCCCGGAGATCTATCTGCCTATCTCCACCTCTTCAATGCTGGGATTACAAGTAAATAATACTACATCTGACTTTCAAAAAATAGAAAAAAAATACTTATTTTGGGCATTGGATGCCATAGCATATGTGTGTGGGAGGGGTGGCCAGAGGACATTTCTTTCAGTAGCCCATTCTCCTGTGGTTTCTGGGATCAAAGTCAGGTCCCTGGGCTTTGTAGGAGGAAATGGAGCAGCAAAGTTCTTCCTGTTTGGTCACCCTCTACCTTGGTTTCAGCTGCAGGGATTCCCTGACACAGTTCCCAATCTATGAGGGCTGGGAATGTGGCTCGGTTGGTAGAATGCTTGCCTATGATGTACAGAACCCTGGCTTCCACCCCAGGCACCACATAACCCAGGCATGGTGGGGCAGCCTGTCATCCCCGTGAGGACCTGGAGTGCAAGACCATCTTCAGGTATGCAGTGAGTTTGAGACCAGCCTGAGTTACAGGAGTCCTTATCTTTGAAAAATGAAAAAACAAAAATTAAAATTCATTCTAAGGTCTACCAGCTTTCACATTCCAGGGCCAACCATATAAACAGGCGCATCCAAGGCTGAGAAAGGCAGAGGGTGCCTGCCCCCCACTCCCCGCCATCCCAGGATCCACACCAACTCACTGGGATGAGGTCACCCTTGGCATCTTTGCAGCCACATTGGTTTCTGGGTACACACTTGTCCTCACTGAGCAGGTAGCCAGGTCGACAGACACAGCCCTCCTTGCAGGTGGAGGGGTCTTTGGGGCTGACGCCCTCACAGTGGCCATTTGGGTTGGAGCAGGAAGGCAGACAGGAGGGAAGGCAACCGGTGTAGAGGCTGTTGGCTGGGCACTTCAGAGCTGTGGGGTGGAAGAAGAATGGGGCTCAGGCCATGCCTCGGATTTCTCCAGCCACGAGCTGGTTCTGTCCTTCCCTTCCCATGTGCTCCCTTACTATCGGAGACACAGTTACTGCTGCCGTCTTGATATTGTTGGCAGTGGGTCCCTGAGGGGCACTGGAAGTTCTGGCATTGAAAGAGTCCTTCCTTGCACGCACAAATCCGGGTACAGTCAGTAGAGATCCATGTCTGGCCGGTCTGCAGAAGTAACCAGAAGGGAAAGAAAGAGAGAACACAGGGCTTAGTTTTCTGTCCAAGGGTCTTACATTTGCCCTATGCATCTGCAGGTTCCATATCCACTGAGTCAACCAACTACAGATGACAAAAAAATTCTTTTTAAATTGCCACTGGGATTGTGGGCATAACTGAGCCTGACTAGAACACTCAGTGAGGGATGGGAACATGGCTCAGGGGGTGTGACCCAGTAGTAGTTAGAGTACTGGCCCAGAATTCTTAGTGAAATGTTGGCGGTACCCAGTGGCAGGTATAGTGCTTGTTTAGAATCCCCCAGTGAGTGTTAGAGGTATGGTCCAGCAGAGGAACATCTGTCTAGAATCCTCCATTGAACACTAGGACATGTGGTTCTAGTGGCAGAGCAGTCCCCTGGCACGTGCCAAGACTCTAAAACCTTCAAACCCCGGAGCTAACCATATAAGTAAAAGTATCCAGAGAGACAGAGAAAGAAGCTCTAATCCTAACCTTAAAAATCTAGGTGTGCGTGTGTGTGCGTGCGTGTATGAGAGTATGGGATACATCCATGTTGAGGTGTCACCTCTTATATCATAAGAAAACTGGGGTCTCAGACAGCTGTACCCAGCTTCCATGGGTAGTGGGAACTCAACTCAGGTCCTCACATTTACAGAGCAACTCACGGAGCCAACTCCCATTCCCTCATGGCAGTCTCCAGGCCTGCTTACCTGGATGAGGTTGCCCCGGGCGTCCTTGCAGCCACAGTGAATTCTGAGCACACACTTGTCGTCATGCAGCACGTAGCCGGATCGACAGACACAGCCCTCCTTGCAGGTGGAGGGGACCCTGGGGCTGGAGCCCTGGCAGAGGCCCTCTGGATCCAAGCAGGTAGGTAGACAGGATGGGAGGCAGCTGGTGTAGAAGCTGCGGGCCGGACATTTCAGAGCTTTGTGGCGGAAAGGGAGTGGCATTAGTGCAGAGAACCAGAGGAGCCCAAGGAAGCAGAGGCCACGTTAAACAGGGTGGGCAGAACAACTAAGAAACTTGAGGGCTTCCTCTGCCCCTTTTGTTATTCATCCAGCAAAGATTTACCGAGTATGGACTGTGTGTCCCCAGAGAACTACCTTCCTTCTTGTCCTCTCTCTGACCCTTCCCCCATCCTTACCGCTGGTGACACAGCTTCTGCTGCCATCTTTATTGTACTCGCAATGGGACCCTGTTGGACATTTGAAGTTATGACACTGGACAGTCCCTCCTCTGCAGGTACAGCTCTGGGTACATCCACCAGTGATCCACGTCTTGTTTTCCTGTAGAAGCCACAAGAGGACAAAGTCCCCAGTGAACAGCAGAGGGTGTAGCTCAGTGCAAGGGGACAGAGCAGCAGTAGGGCACTGGTCCAGCATATGCCAAGAACTGACTACCCTTCAACTCCAGGGCAAGCCATAGAGATAGGAGCGTCCCGTGACAAGACAGATAAAAGGGGAAAATGGCTCCCAAGACCACTTTCAGAAATGTGTTTGTGTGCGCACGCACATTTGTGTTCACGCATGTGTGGGTGCGCATGTACTCCTGAAGGGCAGAAGACATTCTCAGGTGTTGGTCTTTCATTCTACTTTGCACCAGAACAGGTTCTCTCTCTCTCTCTTTCTCCCCGTCTCTCCCTCCCTCTCTCTTTCTCTCTCCCATTTTGGTTTGGATGATGCTCACTACTATGTACACCAGACTGTCTAGCCTGCACCTTTCTGAGGGTTGTCCTGTTTGTACCTTCCATATTTCGGCAGGAGCTCTGGGATTACAAACCACTGTGCCCAGTTTAAATGGATTATGGGGACTTGAACCGAAGTTTTCACCCCCCCCCCCACTAATCCCATTTTTCACGCTCACTCACTGGAATGAGAGTGCCCTGGACATCTTTGCAGCCACACTGGATTCTGGGCACACACTCGTCATTATTCAGCACGTAGCCAGGTTGACAGAGGCAGCCTGTATTGCAGACGGCAGGGACTTTGGTGCTGGTGCCCTCGCAGTGCCCATCGGGATTCAAGCAGGAGGGTAAACAGGAAGGAAGGCAGTTGGTGAAGTGGCTGTGGGCTGGGCATTGAAAGGCTGTCGGATGGAAGTGGCGTGGTGTTAGTGGAGAGGGCCTGAGAATGATGGTGGGAGCAGAGGCTTCAGAAACCAGGCTAGGAGGAATGACCAACAGAGTTTGTTTGTGGGTTTCCCCTCCCTTCATTATTCATTCATTCAGCAAACGCATAGTGAGCACGGACTGTGCTGATTCCTGAGAGTGGCCCTCCAAAGTCAACATGGGGGCTGAACCACTGGGAGACACACTGAGCAGAGGCCCTGCTGTGGGTTCCCAGACCCCTCCCCTCTGTGGTAGCTCCTACCTCCCATCTCTAAGGCCCAGGAGACTAGGTTCCTCTTGCCCTGCTTCTGATTCCTCCAGTAAAGAGTATACCCTCACCACCTTTCCCAGCAGCTCCCTTACTGTTGGAGGCACAGTTACTGCTGCCATCATCACTATGCTGGCAGTGGGTCTCCGAGGGGCAGCTGAACTTTTGGCACTGGATGGCCCCATTGATGCAGGCACAGCTCTGGGTGCAGCCACTGGAGATCCAGGTCTTGCCTGCCTGCAGAAGCCAGGGAAGAGAAAGGAAGCGAGGAGAGGATGATTCTAAGGAACCAAGCTTAATCTGCAAGTTCCACACCTACTGAGTCAACTACTAGAGTGAGAAAAACTGCATCTGGACTTACGGGTAGAGTGGCTCAGTGGTAGAGTCCCTGCCTAGAATCCCCCAGTGAGGGGCTGGGGTGTGGCTCAGTGGTAGAGCCCCTGCCTAGAATCCCCCAGTGAGGGGCTGGGGTGTGGCTCAGTGGTGGAGCCCCTGCCTAGAATCCCCAGTGAGGGGCCGGGGTGTGGCTCAGTGGTGGAGCCCCTGCCTAGAATCCCCCAGTGAGGGGCTGGGGTGTGACTCAGTGGTAGAGCCCCTGCCTACAATCCCCCAGTGAGGGGCCGGGGTGTGGCTCAGTGGTAGAGCATCTGCCTAGAATCCCCCAGTGAGGGACTGGGATGTGGCTCAGTGGTAGAGCATCTGCCTAGAATCCCCCAGTGAGGGGCTGGGATGTGGCTCAGTGGTAGAGCTCCTGCCTAGAACCCCTCAAAGAAGGGCTAGCTAAGGTGCTCAGAGAACATTTGTCTAGCATTTTCTATTCCCTGACTGATCTTCACAAACCAGGGCCAGCCATACAGACAGATTTATCCAACATGGAGAGAAATAGACAAAAGGAAAAGGTCATCAACAATCTAACTTTTTTTTCAGGGTGAGGGTAGGTAATCTTAGTGCTTGTGTGAATGTTCTTGCGTGAGAGAGCAGGTGTGCATACATGTGGAGGCAGGAGGACAAGCTCAGGTGCTGGGTATGACTTTCTACCTTGTAATGAGACATGCCTTCCCCCTTGTTGTCATTTACCTCTGGATACAGAAGAATAACTGGCCCCCAAATTTGAAAGGATTCTGCTGTGTCCCTCCCATTGCTCAGTGCAGCCCTAGGAGTATAGACACAGGCTATCGCATTCAGTTTACATGAATAATGAAGATTAGAACTCAGACCCTCAGCTGGGCGTGGGGGCACACATATTTAACCCCAGCACTCAGGAGGCAGAGGCAGGTGGATCTCTGTGAGTTCGAGGCCAGCCTGGTCTACAGAGAGAGTTCCAGGACAGTCAGGGCTACACAGAGAAGCCTGTCTTGGAAAACAACAAGAACAACAAAAAGAACTCAGATCCTCTTCACATTTTCAGCTTCAACCTCCCCCCACCCAACTTCAGAGGCCCACTCACCAAGATGAGGTTACCCTGGGCATCTTTGCAGCTGCACTGAGCTCTGGGAATACACTTGTCACTGCTCAGTATGTAGCCAGATTGACAGATACAGCCCTCCTTGCAAGTGGGGGAGGCTCTGGGGCTGGTGTCCTTGCAGAGGCCATCGGGGTCCAAGCAAGAAGGCAGACAGGAGGGAAGGCAGCTGGTATAGCGACTGTGAGCTGGGCACTGTCCAGCTATGGAGTGGAGGGAGAACAAGGTTAGTGGAGAGGATGGGGTGGGCTAGGAAGCAGGGACTAGAGAAACAAGGACGGGCAGAGTGGCTAACAGAACTCATTCATTGTTATTCATTCAGCAGAGCATGGACTCTGTGCCAAGCCCTGAGGAAAGAAAATAAGAATGGTTTTCCGCAACTCAGTATGGGAAACTATTAAGAGATTAGCACTGGGAAGGGACCATTCAGTAAACATTTACTGACGTGGGCTACGTGGTAATCCCTAAGAGAAGAAAGTAAGAAAAGGCAGATCTCCCAGGGTAACACGGGACACTAATTCTGATGGTTAGTTTTAACTATCAATTTGACACAATGTAGAATCATCTAGGAAGAGTTGTAATAAGTCTTGTCCAGATCAGACTGGAACCGTCTGGACTACATTAATTGATATAGGAAATTCAGCCCACTGTGGATAGTAGAATTTCCTGGGTTTGGCCCTGGGCTGTATAGAGTAGAGAAAGCTAGCTAAATGCGAGTGAGCGGGCATGCATGCACTGCCCTTTGTCTGTGTGCCTGTGATTAACTCTCTAAGTCCCCACAGTGATGGGCTGGAACTGTGAACCAAAAGAAGCCCTTTGTCCCCAAGCTGCTTTTTGTCACAGCACATGGTATCCCAGCAACAGAAATGAACCGTGACATGACCACGGAGAGACTGACACTGAGAAGGACACAGCCTAGCCACAGTCTCCAGAATCCCTTCCCACCATGTTATTCCTCCAGCTCCTCAACTCCCGAGCCCAGGGAGGGGCCTGGGCGCTTTCTTGCCCTGCCTCTGCTTCCTCCAGGCATGAGGACAGTCTCTTCATCTCCCTTCGAGGTTCCTTACTGATTTCAGCACAACTGCTGCTGTTATTCTCGATGTCCTGGCACTGAGTTCCTGAGGGGCACTGGAAGCCCCGGCACTGAATAAGTCCTCCCATGCAGGTACATCTCTGGGAACAGCCTGCAGCAATCCAGGTCTTTCCTGCCTACAGAAGTCACAGGAGGATGCAGGAAGTAAGGACAAAGGGGCCAGCTGTAAGGAGACAGGCTTAGCCTGCTGTCTGTAGGGCTTATATTTGCCCTCCTTACCTGCAGGCTATTAAGTCAGCTAAGTACAGAACCAGGGGAAAATTGTATCTGGAGCTGCCTGGTGGGAGAGGGCCTATGTAGACTCCACTAGGAAGAAGGTGGGAACAGGTCTTAGCCACAGATTATCTGTCTGGAATCCCCCAGTGAGGGGCTGGAATATGGCTCAATGGAAGAGCACGCTCCTATGTTCCGGGATCTGAACATCTCTGGGGCCAGTGATATAGTCATGTACATCCCAGGCACACAGAACAGGGGAAGAAGGAAGACCCCAGTCCCAGACTCTAAGCTCACTCACCGGGATGAGAGCACCTTGGGAGTCTTTGCAGTCACACTCAATTCTGGGTACACACTTGTCCCTGTTGAACACAAAGCCGGACTGACAGAGGCAGCCTTCCTTGCAGGTGGAGGGGTCTTTGAGGCTGGTGACCTCACAGTGTTCGTTCAGGTTGGAGCAGGATGGGATGCAGGAAGGAAGGCAGCTGGTGTGGTAGCTGCGGTCTGGGCACTGCAGAGCTACGGGGTGGAAGGATATGAAGTCAGTGTACGGGGCTGCAGAGAGCCTAGGAAGTAGGGACTAAAGAAACTACGCGGGACAGGGCAAGAAGAGCTTGTGATTTTTCCTCTTTGTTTATCCATACAGCACACCCTTAGTGAGCATAAACTGTGCCAAGTCCTGAGAGAAGAAAGTAAGAAGAGTGGGTCTCCCAAGTCAGTGTGGGAGCCAAATGACTAGCAGACGAAAGCTGAGAGGAGACCCTGCTGTGGGTCCCCAGAAACCTCCCCACTGTGGTACTCAGTATCCTGATCTCTCAGGCCCAGGAGACAGCTCCTTCTTGTTCTATTTCTGATCCACCAGCCACAAACACACCCTCTCCATTTTCCTTATCAGCTTTGGCACAATTATGACTGCCATCATCATTGTCCTTGCAGTGAGTCCCAGTGGGACACTGGAAATTCCAGCAACGTATGTCTCCTGCCATGCAGGTACAGTTCTGGGTACAGTCTTTGGAGAGCCAGGTCTTGTCTGCCTGCAGAGATCATGGAGAGAAAAAAGAAGTAGACATCTAGAGATGGTAGTTCTAGGGAGACAACTTTGTGCCCTGTCTGAAGGGCTCACATTTGTCCTCCCTGTCCACAGGTTTCATTCTATAGAAACAACCAATCGCAGGTGGAAAATACTGGAAAAACTATTTACAACAGGGAATTTTGGTATATCTCAGTGGGATTGTGCCTATGTAGAATCTCCAGATGACGGATAGGTATGTGGCTCAGTGGTAGAGCCCCTGCCTAGAACCCCCCAGTGAGGGGCTGGGGTGTGGCTCAGTGGTAGAGCCCCTGCCTAGAATCCACCAGTGAGGGGCTGGGGTGTGGCTCAGTGGTAGAGCCCCTGCCTAGAATCCACCAGTGAGGGGCTGGGGTGTGGCTCAGTGGTAGAGCCCCTGCCTAGAATCCCCCAGTGAGGGGCTGGGGTGTGGCTCAGTGGTAGAGCCCCTGCCTAGAATCCCCCAGTGAGGGGCTGGGGTGTGGCTCAGTGGTAGAACTGTGGCTAAGAAATTTCCTGTAGGGGTCTGGGAGCATATCTCAGTTATAGAGCAAGGCTTTTCAGTATTTGCCTTGAATCCCCAAGTGATGAACATGTAAGGGGATGTGTGGTTAAATGATAGAACACATACATAGCATGTGCCATACACAACCAAGTTTCACACTGCAGGATTAGCCATAAATACAGGAGAACCCCAGATGGACAAAAGCAAAGGGAAAGAGAAATGGCTACCAATCTCACGCTGAAAAAAATTTTACATTTATATTTTTCTTTGTGTGTGCACACACATGTACATACATGGTCATCAGAAGGCAGCTTGCTAGAGTCATTTCTCTCCTTCCACCACATAGGTTCAAGAAATTGACTTGGCCTATAGGCAAGTGCCTTTATCTCTGGAGCCAAGTTCCAGGTACACTACTTTTTTTTAAAATTACTTTTATTGCCGGGCGATGGTGGCGCACGCCTTTAATCCCAGCACTCGGGAGGCAGAGGTAGGCGGATCTCTGTGAGTTCGAGACCAGCCTGGTCTACAGAGCTAGTTCCAGGACAGGCTCCAAAACCACAGAGAAACCCTGTCTCGAAAAACCAAAAAAAAAAAAAAAAAAAAAAAAAAAAAAAAAAAAATTACTTTTATTTTATGTGCTTTTGCCACCAGTGTCAAGTCCCCTGGAACTGGAGCTGTCATGTGGGTGCTGGGAATTGAACCCAGGTCCTCTGGAAGAGCAGTGAGTGCTCTTATAACCTCTGAGCCATCTCTCCAGCCCCTACTTTTTAAAAAACTAATCTTTGTGTTTCTCTATTTAACGATGGCACACGTATGTGTGGAGGTCAGAGGACAAATCTTGGATGTTGGTATCATCTTTCATCCCATATTCAGATATCAGACAACACAGATTAGCAAGCCCTTAAATTTTGGGGATTCTCCTATCCCTACCTCCCATCTCACATAAAACCCTGAGATGACATAAAGGCCTCTGGCAATCAGTTCGCCGGGCTGTAGAGATTCTAATCATGTCCTTACTGAGCCATCTGCCCAGGTCCACCAGGCTTACACTTGGCACAGACTCACCGGGATGAGAACACCCTGGGCATCTCTACAGCTGCACTGAATTCTGAGTATACATTTGTCGTTATGCAGCACAAAGCCAGATCTACAGACGCAGCCCTCTTTACAGGTGGAGGGGGCTTTTGGGATGGTGTCCCCACAGAGGCCCTCTGGGTCTGAGCAGGAAGGTGGACAGGAGGGAAGGCAGTTGGTGTAGCGGCTGTGGGCGGGGCACTTCACATCTATGAAGGAGAGAGAGTAGTGTTAGCAGATGGGGACAGAGGGGCCCAAAGATACAGAGGCTGCAGAAACTGAGCTAGGATAAATGACCAAATGACCAACACAATTTGTGCTGTCTGCTTTTTTTTTTTTTTGGTTTGGTTTTTTTTTTTTCCTTTGCAATTCACCCAGCAACCACTTGCTGATCATGCGCTGGGTGCCAGCCCTGAGGAGAGAACAAATGAATATATCTCCCAAGTCAGTGGGAACCTAGTACTAAAGAGACTAGCACTAAAAAGGGATGCAATTCAGAGTGGGGCCCCCAAATTCCTCTGTATTGTGCTAGTTCTCATGACCAGCCTCTGAAGCCAGAGACTACCTATGCTCCTTGCCCTGTCTCTGATCCCTGCAGCCACAAGCACACCCTCCTTACCATCCCCATTGCCCTCTTACTGATGATTTTGGTGCAGTTAATGTTGCCATCTGGGCCATTCTGGCACTGAGTCCCTGGGGGGCAGTTGAAGCTGCGACATTGGACAACCCCTCCCATGCAGGTACAGCTCTGGGTGCAGCCACTAGAGACCCAGGTCTTGCCTGCCTGCAGAAGCCATGGGAAGAGAAAGGGAGTGAGGACAGAGAGGCTGTTCCAGGGACACAACCTCACCTCCTGTCTGAAGAGCTTCAATCCGCCCTCCCTATCCATCCATCTATTGAGTCAACCAGCCGTAGGTAGAATATATTTGAACAGAGAAATATATGGGGAAGGAGGATTAGCAGTTTATTGGTAGATCACGGTCCTAAATCCTCAGTAGGGACCTCTAAGGATACTAGCTCAGTCACACAACTCACCAGCCTAGAATTCCCTCAGTGAGGGGCTGGGGTGTGGCTCAGCAGGTATAACTACTGTCTAGAGTTTATAATGAGGGTTTGGAGGTGGGGTTCAGTGGTAGAATCTTCCACTGATGCACTGGAGATGTAGTTTAGGGTTCGAGCACTTGCCTAGCCTGTGCCAGAACCTGACCATCCTTCAAACTCAAGGGCCAGACATACAGACAGGAGCATTCCAGAAGGAATTAGAAAAAAAAAAAGTTTTATATGGCTCCAGAGATGGTTTAGCTGTTAAGAGCACTCGCTGCCTTGTGGAGGACCTGGGTTTAATTCCCAGTACCCACAAGGCTGCTCACAACTTCTGTAACTCTAGTTCCAGGGAATCTGATGCCTTCTTTTGGCTTCTGTGGATACCAGGTTCCCAAATGATATACATGAATACATGCAGTCACCCACACACATAAAATATGAATAAATCTCTTTAAAGATTGTACAGTGTGTGTGTGTTCACATGTGTGTGTTCACGTGTGTGTGTTCACGTGTGTGAGTGCTGGCCCACATGCCAAAGCAGTTCTGGGGGTTCTCCTTTCTCGGCCCACCATGTTTTGGTAGAGTAATGGGATTCCAGACACAGGTAACTGCCCATCTCTAGTGAATTGTGGAGATTGAAACTCAGATCCTCACACTTGCACAAGAGAACAACTGACCCACTGAGCTAGCACTCCCAATCTTCTCCACACCCACTCACCGGAATGAGGTCACCCCGGGCGTCTCTGCAGTCACAGTGCATCTGGAGCACACACTTGTTGTTATTCAGTACATAGCCTGGCTGGCAGACGCAGCCCTCTTTGCAGGTGGAGAGGACTTTGGGGCTGGTGCCCTCACAGTGGCCATCCAGATCAGTACAGGAAGGTGGACATGGGGGAAGGCAGTTTGTGTAGTGGCTGTGGGCAGGACATTTCAGAGCTATGGGGTGGAGGGAGATTGGGGTTATTGGATGGGGCCTAAGGAAGCAGATAAATGGCCCACAGAGCTTCAGGATTTTTTCCTATTGTTATTAATTTTGAAAATATTTACTGAACATGGGGTGTGTGTCAAGTCCTTAAAAAAAGTAAGAATGGCTCTCCCAACTAAATGGGCAAGACTAACCATTGAGAAAGCAGCAATGAGAAGGGTCTCAGCAGAGTCAAAGGTCCACAGACTCTCTTCCAACCTCTGAGGCCCACGGGCTAAGCTCCTTCTTGCCCTGCCTCTCATCCCTCCAGTCATGAGCACACCCTCCCCACCTTCCCCCATGACCCTCTTACTGATTTTGACACAGTTATAGCTGCCATTATTGCTGTCCTTGCAGTCAGTCCCCAGGGGGCACTGGAAAGTCCTGCACTGGACAGTCCCTCCCATGCAGTTGCAGCTCTCTGTACAGTCTTTGTTGAGCCAGGTCTTGCCTGCCTGCAGAAGCCATGAGAAGAAAACTGAAGAAGAGGACAGCTCTAAGGAGACAGCTTCTTTATGTAGGTTTAGGTATGTGGGTTTGTTCTCACTGCATCTACTGAGTCAGCAAACTACGGGTGGAAAATCTTTGAAAAAAATAATTGCATTAGGGGATGTGGGTGTACCTTAGAGGCACAGCACCTGCCTGGAGTCCGGTAGTTAGAGCTGGAGGTATGGTCAGTTATGGACAGCCTGCCTAGAGTTCTCAGTGACAGGCCATGAGCAGCCCTCACACTCTAGAGTCAGTTCTGAAGACAGGCACATCCATGTGGTGGCACACACATTCACTCCTAGCACTCAGGAGACAGAGTAAGCGCATCTCTGTGAGTTCAAGACCTGCTTGGTCTGTCTAAATAGTAAATTACAGGACAGTCAGGACTACAGAGAGAGACCTTGTCTTAAAAAACAAAAACAAAACAAATAAAAATATAGGCACATCCCAGGTTAACAAAAGCAGAGGGAAGAAGCACATTCCACTTTTATTTTAAATCTCTGTGTGCATGTTTTCATGTATGTTCATGTGTGTTGGAGTGTTTGTGCAGATATGTGTGAAAGTCAGAATATAGCCTGGAATATTGGTCCTCACCCTCTATCTTGTGTTGTGAGGCTGTCTCTGGGCAATCACAAGACTAGCTAGCCTACACGTTTCCAGTAGAAGCTAGGAGCTACCACATCCAGCTTACATAGGTTCTGGAGATTCAAACTCAGGCCCTCACACTTGTAAGGCAAACATTTTACCCAGTGAGCCATTTCCTTGGCCACCCCACCAATCCCTTTCTTTCCACATCTACTCACAGGAATGAGGTCACCCTGGGCATTTCTGCAGCCACACTGAATTCGGAGCACACACTTGTCATTATTCAGTAAGTAGCCAGGCTCGCACACACAGCCTTCCTTACAGGTTGCGGGGACTTTGGAGCTGGATTCCTCACAGTGGCCATCCATAATTGAACAGGAAGGTGGACAGGAGGGAAGGCAGCTGGTGAAATGACTGTGGGCGGGGCATTGTAGAGCTTTGGGGCAGAGAGAGTGGAGTCAATGAGGGACCCAAGTGAGCACAGGTTATAGGAAGCAAGTCTGGTCAAGTGAGCAATGCTCTTTGGGCCTTAGTTTGCTTTTGTTTTATTCATTTAGTAAACATTTACTGAGCATGGCCCTGTGACAAGTCCTGAGAGAAGAAAGGAAGAAGACGAGTCCCAAGTCGGTGTGGGAGATCACCCACTGAGAGACTGACACTGAGAGGGGACTCAGCTGCGGGTCCCAGAACCCACCCCCACTACTGTAACTTTTATACCCAGCCTCTAGGCTCAGAGGAAGAAGCTCCTGTCTTGCCAATCAGGAGCACGCCCCCTCCACCTCCCCTGTGGGGCTCCCCCATGGCTCCCTTACGTATTTCAGCACAGTTACTGCTGCCATCATTGCTGCCCTTGCAGTGAGTCCCTTGGGGACACTGGAAATTCCTGCACTGGATGGCGCCTTCCACACAGGTGCAGCTTTGGGTACAGCCTGCAGAGATCCAGGTCTTGCCTGCCTGCAGAAGTCATAAGAAATGAAAGGAAGTAAAGTCTGAGGGTGGCTTTTTATTTATTTATGTTTGTGTGTGTGCACACATGTGAGCACATGAGTATGATAGCCCATGGAGGCCAGAAGACACATCAGTCCCTTGAGGCATTTGTTATAGGCATTATAGGCATTTGTGAGTAGCTGGGATCAAAACTCCAATCCTCTTGATAGAGGAGCAAGTGCTCTTAACCAAGGAGCCATCTCTCTGGCACCTAGTTCTCAGGAGACAACCTCACTTCCTGTAGGAGGTACTTACGTCTGGCCTCGCTGTCTCCAGATTTCACATAAGTTGGGTCTACCAACTATCTCCCTCCACCATCCTGATTCCTCAGCTCACTCACCGGAATGAGAGCACCCTGGGCGTCCTTGCAGTCACACTCAATTCTGAGCACACACTTGTCATTACCCAACACATAGCCAGGTTGACAGAGGCAGCCCTCCTTGCAGGAAGGGACTTTAGGGCTAGTTCCCTCACAGCGGCCATCAGGGTCAAGGCAGGAAGGTTGACAGGAGGGAAGGCAGTCCGTGAAGTGGCTGTGGGCCGGGCACTGCAGAGCTTTGGAGTAGAGGGATGGTAGGGTTAGTGGAGAGAGCACAAGGAAGGCAAGGCTGTAAATATCAGACTAGGCAGAATGACCAACAGAGTTCGGGCTTTTCCCCTTCCTCTTAGTGTTCATTCACTGAAGATGGGCTATGTGTCCAACACGCAGGACAGACAGCAAGAATAGTTTCTTCTAGCTCAGTGTGGGAGACTAGCCCTGAGAAAGGAAGGACTCAGCCACACTCTATGTTCCCAGGATCCCTCCCTATTCAATTCCAGAATTCCTACTTGGACCCTTGAATCCATGACCTCCTAAGTGTGAACTAAGTGCCTTCTTGCCCTGCTTCAAACCCTTCCAGTCATGAGCACACCTGCTCCACCTCTCCCACGGCTCCCTTACTGATTTTCACACAGTTGCTGTTGCCATCATCGTTGTCCTTGCAGTAAGTCTCTGAAGGACACTGGAAATTCTGGCATTGGACAGTCCCTCCTGTGCAGGTACAGCTCTCGGTGCAGCCTCTAGGAGTCCAGGTCTTGCCTGCCTGCAGAAGCCATAGGAAGAGGAAGGGAGTGGGAAAGGGGCTGGTTCAAGGAAGACAGCCTTACTGCTATCTGCGGGACTTTCACTTCCTCTCCCATTCTCTAGGCCCATATCTATTGAGTCAACCATTAGTGCATGGAAACTATTTGAAAAAATACTGCATCTATGGATGGGACTTAGACTCTGACAGCGAGCTGCTAGCAACTATTTCAACAGAGAGCATCTGTCTAGAATTACTCAGTGAAGGGCTGTGGCATGACTCAGTGGTAGAACAAGTGCCTAAAATCATACAACAAGGGGTTAGGAATGGTTCTCAGGGAAGAGCACTTGCTTAGTCTATGCCAGGACAGGCTTTTCTTCACATCCCCAGGCCAGCCATATAGACACGAGCATCCCAGACTGACAGGAGCAGAAGAAAGAAGAGGGAGAGAAAGCCCAGGAGGAGAAGACATTCCCACTCTCCAAGCCCACTCACCGGGATAAGAGTGCCCTGGGCATCTTTGCAGTCACACTGAATTCTGGGTATACATTTGTCCTTATTGAGCACAAAGCCAGAGTTGCAGAGGCAGCCTTCCTTGCAAGTTGAGGGGACTTTGGGACTGGTGCCTTCGCAGTGGCCCTCCAGGTCCAAGCAAGAAGGTGGGCAGGAGGGAAGGCAGTCAGTATAGTGGCTGTTGTCTGGACACTGCAAAGCTATGGAGTAGAGGGAGAGTAGACGTATGGAGAGGACCAGAGGAAGCCCAAGAGGAAGCCCAAGGAAGCGCTTCTGTGCAGGGGTCAGACTCGATAGAATGACCAGCAGATCTTCTCCTCCCCACCTGCACAAGCATTCACTAAGCATGCCCCGTTTATCAATCCACAAGAGAAAAAGTAAGAAAAATGGGTCCCACAAGTCAGTGTTGAGACTAAGAGTGAGAAGGGACTCAGCCCAGCCATGGCGCCACAAACTCTTTCTCTACTGTGGTAACTTCTATCCCCAAACCTCTAAAACCCAAGCAACAAGAACTAAGCTCCTTTTTCTCTGTGTAACAGTCCTAGCTGTCCTGGAACTAGCTCTTGTAGACCAAGCTGGCCTCAAACTCATAGAGATTAGTCTGCCTCTGTCTCCCAAGTTCTGGGATTAAGGGCATGTGCCACCACTGGCCAGCTGAAAGCTCCTTCTTGTCCTGCCTCTAGTCCCTCCCTCCCTTCCCCCACGGCCCCCTTACTGATTTTAGCACAGTTACTGCTGCCATCATTGTTGTCCTTGCAGTGAGTCCCCGGGGGACACTGGAAATTCTGGCACTGGACGGTCCCTCCTGTGCAGGCACAGCTCTGGGTGCAGTCTCTGGAGATCCAAGTCTTGCCTGCCTGCAGAAGGCATGGCAAGAGACAGAAAGTGCGGAAGGGGAGGTTAGCTAGAGACAGCCTCATTTGTCTGACTTAGGTTTGCCCTCCCTATTGCTACCGCGGATCTACTGAGTCAGCCAACAACAGGTAGGAAATATTTAACAAGTATTTCCTTCTGTTTCTGTATGCACAACTCAGCAGAATAGAACCTGCCTACAATCTCCCAGTGAGCAGGTGGGGGGCATGAGCGATCAGCAACATTTCTGCCTGGAATCCTAGGTCAGGACACTGGGGGAGGGAATCTGTGGTAGAATGTTGGCCCTGAATCCTATAGTAGGGATTTAGGGAACATATAGCTCTTAGTGATGGGTGGTTGTGTGATTTTGAAGTAGAATACTTGCCTGGAATTCCCAGTGAGGGATGGGGAGTGGTTCAGTGGTAGTGTATTTGCCTACCCTGTGCCTGGATCTGAACAATCTTCACATTCTAGCACCAGCCATACAGGCTGGAGAATCCAAAATGCAGAGAAGCAGAAGAAATGAGTTAGTGGCTCCCAACCCTGCATGGGTGTTATTTTCTTTTTCTTTTTCTTTCTTTTTTTTTTTTTTTTTTTTGGTTTTTGAGACAGGGTTTCTCTGTTTTGGAGCCTGTCCTGGAACTAGCTCTTGTAGACCAGGCTGGTCTCGAACTCACAGAGATCCACCTGCCTCTGCCTCCCGAGTGCTGGGATTAAAGGCGTGCGCCACCACCGCCCGGCTCATGAGTGTTATTTTTGCTTGTTGGTTGGTTTGTCTGTTTTTGAGATAGGTTCTCACTATGTAGTCCTGGCTGCTCTGGAACTTGTTATATAGCTCAGGTTGGCTCTGAACTTTTAGAGACATACCTGACTCTGCTTTCCAAGTACTGGGATTAAATGCATGAGCTGTCACCATCCCCCCCCCCCCCCGTGTGTGTGTGTGTGTGTGCTTAGACATGAAGGTTAGAGGATAATCTCAAGTATTGGTATTCACGTTGTAGCTTGTATTTAAAAGTTCAGTATGTCTCTCTGTATCTGTCTTTTTCTCTTTGTTTTGGCCACGACAGCATACACAAGACTAAACTAGCTCTCAAGTTTCTAGGATTCTGCTGTCTTCTTTTCCCATCTCCCAGTATAAGCACTGGGGTTAGAGACATAGGCTACTGTGTTCATCTCACATGGGTTCTGGGGATTCAAACCAAGACCTGAATACTTGCAGGATGAATACTTTATAATGGAGCTATCTTCACAGACCCCAGTAATCCTACCATCTCTGTGCACTCACCGGGATGAGAGCACCCTGGGCGTCCTTGCAGCCACACTCAATTCTGAGCACACACTTGCCGTCATGTAGCACAAAGCCAGGTTCACAGACACAGCCCTCCTTGCAGGTGGAGGGGGCTTTGGTGCTGATCCCCTCACAGTGGCCTTCTGGGTCTGAGCAGGAAGCCAGACAAGATGGCACGCAGTTGGTGTAGAGGCTGTGGGCGGGGCACTGCATAGCTATGGGGCAGAGAGAGTGTGGTTAATGAAGAGGAACACAGGGTCAAAGCAGAATGCTCAAGAGAGGGTGGAGCTCCCCACGCCTTTTGTTACTCATTCAGCCAACATTTACTGAGTGTGAACTTTATGCCAAGTCCTAAGGAAAGCAGCGAGAGTAGAGCTCCTGGGACTGGAGAGGTGGCTTAGCAGTTAAGACTACTTGTTGCTCTTGTGGACCCAAATTAAGTTTGTCCTGTTCAAGAATCTCGTGTAAGTCAGGCTCCAGAGCATCTGATGTCCTCTGTGGCCCCTGCATGAACTCGCTCGGGTGCACATACCATATACAGACACACCGCTATACGTGGAATTATAAATAAAATCTTTACAAAGAACGTGTTTTCCAGGAGCATGTGGAGACTGGCAACTGAGAGACTAACAGTGAGAAAGGATCCAGCTCAGCCACGCCTCCCCACAACCCATCCCCGCAGTGGTACCTCTTATCCCAGATTTCATAGGCTCAGGGGACTAAGCTCCTTCTTGCCCCACCTCTGGTCTCCTCAGCCACGAGCACACCCTCCCTACCTTCCCCATGGCTCCCTTACTGATTTTGGTACGGTTGCTGTTGCCATCCGCCATGTCTTTGCAGTAAGTTCCCGAGGGACACTGGAAATTCCTGCACAGGATGACCCCTCCCACGCAGGTACAGCTCTGGGTGCAGCCTCTGTCGATCCAGGTCTTGTCTGCCTGCAGAAGCCAAGGGAGGGAAAGTGGGGGCATAGGATTTATTAGAGAGAGACAGCTTTGCCTCCTGTCTGAGGGATTTACCTTTGCCTTCCGTATCTGCAGGTTCTGTATGTATTCATTTAGCCAGCTATGGATGGAAGGTATATGGGGAGAAAATGAAGTGGACATATGCCTAGAATCCTCCAGTGAGGGACTAGGGGCATAACTCAGTGACAGAGCTGAGCCCTGAGAATTCTCAACTGGGGTTTGGGAGCATGGAGTACAGTTCAGATGTAGAACTTATGCCTAGAATCCTCAGAAGTAATAAGTGGGGCCGTGGGCAGGCTGTGGTTTAGAGATAGGATATCTGTTCAGAATCCTTCAAGAGGGTCTGCGCTATGGCTTAGAGGGAGAGCAACTACCTAGGAGCCATCATTGAGGACTGGGAGGACAGCTCAGTTGTAGAGTACTTGACTAGAATTTCCCAAGAGGGGATGTGAGGCCATAGCTTGTTCTCGAACCTTTACACTTACAGGACTAGCCATACAGACAGGCGCATCCCAGATGGAGAACAGCAAAAGGAATGAAAAAAGTGGCCCTTATCTCACTTTTTACAAAAAGTTTCAAGTGTTTATGAGTGGGAGCAGGAACACATGTATGTTCGGAGGTCGGAGGACAATCTTGAATATTGGTCCTGTCTTTTACTTTGTTCTGAGACTCTCTCTTCTTCCCTTCTTCCCACCCCTCTTTCCTCCCATCCACTCCCCCTGTCTTCACTGTCGTTCACTCTGTTCTCCATCTCCTAGTAGGAGCCCTGGGATTATAGACGCACACCACCAAGGCCTACATTGACTGAACAGATTCACACTCAGGTCCTCAGTTCTCTTCAGGAAATGTTTTACCCTGAGCCATTTCCCATCCCCCACACCCCACTTTAGACGTCCACTTACCGGGATGAGAGCACCCTGGGCGTCCTTGCAGCCACAGTGATTTCTGAGCACACACTTGCCATCATTAAGCACATAGCCGGATTCACAGACACAGCCCTCCTTGCAGGTGGAGGGACCTTTTGTGCTGGATCCCACACAGCGGCCATCAGGGTCCATGCAGGAAGGTTGGCAGGCGGGAAGGCAGTTGATGAACAGGCTGTATTCTGGGCACTGCAGAGCTATGGGGTGGAGGGAGACAAATTACTGGAGATGACCTAGAAATCCAAGTGAGCAAGCTGCAGAAACCAGACTAGCAGGCTGGAGATAGGACTCAGCCTTTAAGATTGCTTGCTTCTCTTACACGGGCCTTGAGTTCAGGTCTCAGCATCCATATAAGGTGGCTCAGCACCCCCTGTAATTCCACCTCAGGGGATGCAGCATCCCTTCTGGCCTCCACACGCACTGCACTCAGGTGCAAAACACACACACACATAGGCACCCCATTATACATGTATTAAAAACATCTTTAAAAATATTTCAATCTGCCAAGTCAATTTGGAGACCAACAATGTAAAGACTAACAGTGGGATCCAGCACAGCCACGGGTCCTCACATAGCTCCCCATCATGGTACTCCCATCCCAGATCTTAAAGACCAGGGGAATACCCTCCTCCCCTGCTCTCATCCCTCCAGCCATGAGCACCTTCCCCACCTTCCCCAGGGCTCCCTTACTGATTTTGATGCATTTACTGTTGCCATCCTCGATGTCCTTGCAGTAAGTCCCCGGGGGACACTGGAAGTTCCTGCACAGGATGGCCCCTCCTGCACAGCTGCAGGTCTGGGTGCAGCCTCTGTTGATCCAGGTCTTACCTAACTGCAGAAGCCAAGGGAGAGAAAGGAAGTCAGGACAGAAGGGCTGGTTAAAGGGAGAGAGCTTTACCTCCTGTCTGTACCTTTGCCTTCCCTGTAAGCAGATTCCAAATCTATCATAAACATGGAAGGAACAGATTTGGGGGAAAATGCATCTGGGGCTGTGGACATAGCTTAGTGGTATAGTGCAGATCTAGAGCCCTCCACTGGGGAGGTGACAGTGTTAGCGCTTAAGCCGAGAGGCCTCCACTGATGGCTTGGGAGCATAGCTCAGATACAGAAACTCTGCCTAGGATCCTCAGTGATGGTGGGGGTTAGAGAAGGTCAAGCAGAGCTATAGAACACTTGCCTAGAATCCTCCAGTGAGAGGCTGGGACCTGGCTAAGATTCCCCTGTGGAGAGAGTAGTGTAGTTCGTGGGCAGCCCCAGTCTTCAAGTGAGGTCTAGGTAGTGTAACCTAGTCTCATAGTTCCTGACCAGAATGTCCCTGGGAGGGGATAGAGGCATGGTTCAGCACCAAAGCACTTGCCTAACCTTTATCCATTCAGACAGGAACATCTCAATCAGAGAAAAGCAGAAGAAAGAAGGAAACAACCCCCAATCCTAGCTGTTTTCTTGCATGTTTGTTTTTGCCTTTGTTTTGAGACAGGGTTCACTTTGCAGACCTGGCTGTCATGGAGCTCACCTTGTAGATCTAGTTGGTCTCAAACTTAGGGGGATCCGCCTGCCTCTGCCTCTGTCTACCGAGTGCTGGGCCTAAAGAAATGTGCCTCCGTGGCCAGTACAATCTCAGTTTTATGACAACCAAGGCTGCAAAGTGAACCCTGTCTCAAAACAAAAGCAAATGCGTGCGTGTTTGTTTTCTTTGGAATGCCTGTAAATGATGCATGTATATGTGAAGACAGAAGAAAACCTCAAGCCTTGGTCCTCACGTTCTACTTTTTACTGAGATGCGTCTCTCTCTTTCTCCCTCCCTAGCCCTTAAGTTTCTGGAAATTCTCCTGTCCCTGACATCACCACTCCGCATCCTAGCAGGAGCCCCTGGGACTAGAGACAGCTAACGAGGATAGCTAACATGGCTTGTAGGGATTCAAACTCAGATTCTCATACTTGTAGAGCAAATGTTTTACACACTGAGCCATTTCCCATCCCCCACACCCCACTTTGGACGCCCACTCACCGGGATGAGAGCACCCTGGGCGTCTCTGCAGTCACAGTGAATTCTGAGCACACACTTGTCGTCATGGAGCACGTAGCCAGGTTCACAGACACAGCCCTCCTTGCAGGTGGAGGGGGCTTTATGGCTGATGCCCCTGCAGAGGCCATCTGGGTCCGAGCAGGAAGCCAGGCAGGAGGGAAGGCAGTTAGTGTAGACAGTGTGGGCTGGGCATTGTAGAGCTTTCGGATGGAGAGAAAGTGGGGTTAGTGGAGAGGAACACAATGATGTAAGGAAGCAGAGGAAATAAGGCTGTACCAAACGACCCACAGAGGTTGGGAACTTTTGCTTTTCTTTTGTTATTTCTTTAGCAAACATTTACTGAGCATGGGGTATGTGCCGAGTTATGAGGAAAGAAACTAAGAAGAGTGGACCTTGGACTGGAGAGAGAGTGGTTAACTTAGTGGTTAGTGTTGCTTGCTGCTCTTGTAGAAGATCTGAGTTCACCCGGGTTGAGTGGCTTACAGTTTCCTGTAATTTCCAGGGGCTCCAACACACACACACACACACACACACACACACACACACACACACACACAATCTTTAAAAAGAAGGAAGAGAACAAAAAGAAGGAGGAAGATCTCCCAAGTCTGTGTGAAAAACTAAGATCTGAGAAAGTATCACTGACCCAGCCATGGATTCCCAGAATCCTTCCCCACTGTGGTCTGTGGTGCCCTTAAACTCTCAGAATGTGATTTCTCTGATCCCCTCAGCCATGAGGACACCCTCCTCAATTTTCCCCATGGCTCCCTTACTGATTTTGGTGCAGCTACTGTTGCCATAATTGCTGTCAAAGCAATAGCTCCCTTGGGGACACTGAAAATTCTGGCACTGGATGGTCCCTTCCATGCAGGCACAGCTCTGGGTGCAGCCCCTGGAGATCCAGGTCTTGCCTGCCTGCAGAAGCCACAGGAAGAGAAAGGGAGGGAGAACTTGGCAGTGTGTTCTAGAGACAAGTTTACGGCCTGAATGGATTACGCACACACTCTAGAGAAGTAGAGCCCCCCATCTGCGGGGTCAACCATCCACAGTAGGTGGGAGATACTAGACTGGCGAGATGACTCAACATTAAGTGCGCCTGTCGATATTTACACTCCCCAAGTTTAGATTCCTGCACTCACACTGGGACCCTCAAAACTGTAACTCTAGTTCCAGGCTGTCTGATGGCCTCTTTTGGCCACTTCAGGCACGTGTACTCAGCTGGCACACGTTCACACAGACACTCAGATATACGCATAAATGAAGTTTATAAAATCTTTTTAAGTTGCATTTCGTGCTGGTGGATGTGGTTTGATGGTTGAAGGTCTGTGCAGAACCCCTCCCACTCCCAGTGAGGAGTTGAAGGCATGGCTCAGCAGTAGATTGCTTGCCTGGACCTTCAAATGAGTGACTGCTATGTGATAAAGAGCTAAATTCCTCGCCTGGAACTGCATGGTCACTCCCACTTAGACGACTAGTCCACTGAGTGCCAGGCCCTGATCAGTGCACACTCCAGGGTCAGCCATTCGGACATGAGCATCCTAGACTCAGGGAAGCAGAGGGAAGGATGAAGTTACCCCAAAACGACTCTCCACACCCACTCACCGGGATGAAGGCACCCTGGGCGTCTTTGCAGTCACACTGAAGTCTGGGCACACACTTGTCCTCATTAAACACAAAGCCTGGATGACAGAGGCAGCCCTCCTTGCAGGTCGAAGGAACTCTGGTGCTGACTCCCTCACAGTGGCCATCCAGGTTGGAGCAAGAAGGCAGACAGGAGGGAAGGCAGTGGGTGAATAGGCTGTGGGCCGGGCACTGCAGAGCTATAGGGTGGAGGGAGAGTGGGGTGAGTGGAGAGGTCCAGAGGGGGTTTGAGGAAGCAGAGGCTACAAAACCAGAGGAGATGGAAGGTTCAAGAGAACTTGAACATAGGTTGCTTTTTTTTCCTCCCAAACATTTACTGGCCACAACCTGTGTGCCAAACCCTTAGAAAAGAAAGTAAGAAGAATGGATCTTCTAAATGATTGTGGGGTACAAGCCATAGAGACACCCAGACTAAGAAATTACCCAGTACAAAAGTACCAATCCCCAGAATCTCTCCTCACTTTGTGACCTCCTGCCCTGCCCTCCCAGGCCCAGGAAAGCTCCTTCTTGCCTGCCCCTGCTCTGTCCAGCCATGAGCACCCTCCCCAGTCCTTTCTGCCGCTCCCTTACTGATTTTGATGCATTCACTGCTGACATCCTTGATGTCCTTGCAGTAAGTCCCCGAGGGACACTGGAAATTCCTGCAGTGGATGGCCCCTCCCACGCAGGCGCAGGTCTGGGTGCAGCCTCTGTTGATCCAGGTCTTGTCTGCCTGCAGAAGCCAGGGGAGAAAATGAAGTGAGGGCAGAAGGCTGCTTAGAGGGCAACAGTCTCATCGCTCTGAAGTGCTGACCTTTACCCTTCCTATCCGCAGGTTTCTTATTTAGTTAACCCATCATTGATGGAAAATTTGGGGGGAAATGACCTGTGTGATTGGTAGAGCACCTGCCTACAATTCCCATCAAAGTGCTTACAAAACAACCGTCCCTTGGAGGCCTGGGAGCACAGCGCAGTTCACACAGCTTCTGACTACATACAGTCTCCTGGTGGGGTTTGGATGTGGAGGCTCAACTATAGAGCACTTGTCTAGTATATTCCAGACCTGATCAACCTTCACACTCCAAGGCAACCATGTGTATAGAAAGGTACATCCCAGGTGCACAAAACACAAGAAAAGAACAAGTCGTCCCATCCCAATTTTCAAAACAATCTTTTTGTGTGGAGATGGGTTTATTTGTGTGTGCAGAACTAGGGCACATGTATCTGTAGAGGTCAAAGGATTCCACTTTGTATTGAGACAGCTCCACTCCCCCTCCTTTTTTCTTTTTACATGTCCTTCTCCACGAAGCACAAAGACTCCCTTGAGTTTCTAGGAGTTCTCTATCTCCTAGTAGGAGCCTGGACTACAGAGACAGGCTACCCAGCCAGTTTACGTGGGCTGTGGAGATTCAATTCAGATTCAAACCACATTCTAAGCCATCTCCCCACCCCGCACCATCCCAGTCTCCAAGCCCACTCACCGGGATGAGAGCACCCTGGGCGCCCTTGCAGCCACACTCACTTCTGAGCACACACTTGCCGTCATGCAGCACAAAGCCAGGTTCACAGACACAGCCCTCCTTGCAGGTGGAGGGGGCTTTGGTGCTGATCCCCTCACAGTGGCCTTCTGGGTCTGAACAGGAAGCCAGACAAGATGGCACGCAGTTGGTGTAGTGGCTGTGGGCAGGGCACTGCATAGCTATGGGGCAGAGGGAAAGTTGGATTAGTGGAAAAGCTCAGAGAGGCTCAAGAAGCAATGGCTACAGAAACCTGGTGGGGCTGAATGACCAACAGAGCTTTGAGGGTTTTAACTCTCTCATATTATTTATTCAGCAAACATTCACTGAGCATGGGATGTGTGCCAATCCCCCAAAGTAATGTCTTTCCAAGTGAATGTGGGAGACTAACCACGGAGAAGGTGCCCAACTGAGTTCTCTACTTTATCCCCCACCTATAAGGTCCAGAGAACTAAGCCCCTTCTTGCCCTGTCTGATCCACTGAGTCATGAGCAAACCCCCTCCACCTTCCCCCATGGTGGCTCCCTTACTGGTTTTGACACAGTTACTGGTATAATCTTCGTTGTCCAGGCAGAAAGTCCCTGAGGGACACTTGAATTTCTGGCATCGAATGACCCCTCCCATGCAGTTACAACTCCGGGAACAGCCTCTGGAGATCCAGCTCTTGCCTACCTGAAGAAGTCAGGAGAAAAGGAAGTCAGAAAGGAGGGGCTGGTTTGAGGTGGCCAGCCTCACCCGCTGTCTGAAGGGCTTCAGTCTACCCTCCCTAACTGTACATTCAGAATCTAGTGTGCCAATTAACCACAGGTGGAAAATATTTGGAAAAAGAAAAAAAGAAAACCACTACATCTTGTCAGGATGTAATGGCAAACACTTCTAATTCAAGTGCTCGGGAAGCAGAAGCAGGTAGATATCTGGAGTTCAAAGACAACCAGGGCTACATAGTGAGATTCTGTCTCAGGAAACAAAAACAAACACAAGGGCAAATGCTGCATCTGGGGCTGGCAGTACAGTTCAGGGGTGCAATGCTCGCCTGGACTCCTCCTGAGGGGGCCTAGAGTATAACTCACCCTTAGACAATCTGTCTATAAGCCGTACTGAAAGCCTGGGGTGTGGCTCAGTGGTAGAGCACCTACTACCTAGAATCCTCCAGTTTGGGGATAGAGGTGTGGCTCCTTGGTAGTGAGCCTGCCTAGACTATGGCAGGCCCTGACAAACCAGGGAAGGACATCCCAGGTGGAAAGAAGCAGAGGAAACTAGAAAGTGGCCACCAAACCTATTTTTTTTTAATATTTATTTATTTATTATGTATACAATCTTCTCTCTGTGTGTATGCCTGCAGGCCAGAAGAGGGCACCAGACCCCATTACAGATGGTTGTGAGCCACCATGTGGTGGCTGGGAATTGAACTCAGGACTTTGGAAGAGCAGGCAATGCTCTTAACCTCTGAGCCATCTCTCCAGCCCCCCCAAACCTATTTTTTTTTTTAAAAAAAATATTTGTATGTGTTTGTCTATGCTTGTGTGGGGGAGTGACTGGGGAAGGACTCATCCATCGAGGCCCGCGGACAAGCTCTAGTTTTTGACTCGTCTTCCATTCTGTGTTGAGATAGTCCCCCCACACCTCACTCTCTGCTGCTGTTCTCCACAAGACCAGCCAGCTCCCACTTTCTAAAGACTCTCCTGTCTCCCATCTCCCAGGAGGAGCACCGTAAGAGAACTACTACAGCAGTCATGTGGGCCGTGGCCATCTGAACCCAGATCCTCACCCCTGCAGCGTGTGGCTGTTCTTGGTAGTCAACTGACTACATCTGGAATGAACTAAAACCCAATGACTGGGCACACCTGTGAGGGATTTATTTATTTTTTTCTTAATTAAATAATTTGAAGCGGGAAGACCCACTTCTAATCCAGATCTTTGAGGTAGGAAGATCGACCTTTAATCCACCTGCTGGCAGCCCATATAAAAGACATGGAAAAAGGAAGCTTTCACATTGTCTGTCTGTCTCTCAATCTCTCTTTCTCTCTCTCTCTCTTTCTCTCTCTCTCTCTCTCTCTCTCTCTCTCTCCCTCTCTAATGCCAGTGAAGGAATGGATTTGCCAGTGAGAGCAAGCAGAGACTTTTTTGGGACTCTGGTGTATACTAAAGACCAGCAGAGAAATCCAGCCTCACAGACTGAACAACTATTGGATTCTTGGGCCTCCCATTTACAGGCAGCCACTGTTGGATTAGACTTACAGGGTAAACCATCCTAATAATTTCCCTTCCTATATCTAGAGAGATTCATTCTGTCGAGAACCCTGACGAATACACACAGCAAGAGATTTACCCACTGAGCCCGCTCAAACCAACTTTCTATACCAACTCACTGGGATGAAGGCACCCTGAGTGTCTTGGCAGCTACACTCAATTTTGAGCATACACTTGTCATCATGCAGCACAAAGCCAGGTTGGCAGACACAGCCCTCCTTGCAGGCGGAGGGGGCCCTGGTCCTGGCACTCTCACAGTGTCCTTCCGGGTCCAGGCAGGAAGGCAGGCAGGAAGGAAGGCAGTCAGTGTACTGGCTGTGGGCTGGGCACTGCAGAGCTAGGGGATGGAGGGAGAGTGGGGTTAGTGGGAAGAACAGAGGCAGACCACAGAAACCAGGCTGGGTAGAATGATCAGTAGAGCTTGGGAGTTTTCTTCCCCTTTTTGTTATTCATTTAGCAAACATTTACTGACTGTGTGCCATGGCTTGGAATAAAAAGGTAAGGATATGGAATATTGACGTGGATATGGAAGACTAACCTCTGAGAGCTAATGCTGAGAAGAGTACAGCCAAGCTGTGGATCCCCAGCATCCCTCATCACTGTGGGATTGCCTATCCCTAAGCTCCACCTTGCCCTGCCTCTCGTCCCTCCAGCCATAAGCACCCTCCCCACCTTCCCCCACGGCTCCCTTACTGATTTTGACACAGTTACTGCTGCCATCATTGTTGTCCTTGCAGTGAGTCCCCGAGGGACATTGGAAATTCCTGCACCTGATGGCCCCTCTCATGCAGGCACAGCTCTGGGTGCAGCCTATGGACATCCAAGTCTTCCCTGTCTGCAGAAGCCAAGGGGTGAGAAAGAAGCGGAGACAGAGGATGCGCTAGAGAGCCAGGCTTAGCCTCATGCCTGCATTGCTTACGCAGGCCCTCCTCACATTCAAGCTCCATATCTATTCAGCCAACCATGCACCAGTAGAAAACATCTGATTTTTAAAAAATGGCATTTGGGGCTGCAGGTTCAGAGACAGAAGACCTGTGTAGAATTTCCCAGTGAAAGTCTAAGGGTGTGGCTGAGCAGTACATTGCTTGCCTAGAATCACATCAGGCAGGGTGTGCTGCTTGGCTCAGAGTTAGAAGGCTTGCCTAGAATCCAGTACTAAGATGCTGGGGGCAAGGTTCATCCTTAGAGCCTTTGCCTGCTGTATGCCAGGCTCTGAGGACATAGGTCTTCACATTTCAGGGCCAGCCATACCGACAGGAATATCCCAAGCAGAGAGAAGCAGAGGGAAGGAGGAACGGACCCCAAGCCCACTCTCCACACCTACTCACTGGGATGAAGGCACCCTGGGTATCTTTGCAGCCACAGTGAGTTCTGGGTACACACTTGTTCTTATCAAGCACAAAGCCAGGGTGGCAGAGGCAGCCTTCTTTGCAAGTGAAAGGCACTTTGGGGTTTGTGCCCCTGCAGTGGCCGTCCAGGTTGGAGCAGGAAGGAGGACACGGGGGAAGGCAGTTGGTGTAGAGGCTGTGGGCCGGGCATTGCAGAGCTATAGGGAGGAGGAGAGACAGGTTATTGGAGAGGTCCAGAGGGACCCAAGGGAGTAGAAACTACAGAAGCCAGGCTGGGATGAACAACCAACAAGCTTAGGAGAGTGTTTTCAGTCTTTTGCCATTCACTTAGCAACCGTTTACTGAATGTGGGCTGTGTGCCAAGCCCCTAGGAAAAAAAGAAGACGGATCTCCCAAGTTAATGGGAGAGATTAACCATTTAGAGATTTAAAATGAAAAGGAACACAGCCCAGCCATGCGTCCCCGGAGTCCCTCTCCACTGTGGTGCTTCCTATCTCCCAACTCTTAGGTCAGGACACTGACCCCGCTAGCCATGAGCACACTCTTTCTACCATCCCTGGGATTTCCTTACTGATTTTGACGCATTTGCTGCTGCCATCTTCATTGTCCTGGCATTGAGCCCCTGAGGGACACTGAAAATTCTGGCACTCAATGGCCCCTCCAATGCAGACACAGTTCTGGGTACAGCTACTGGAGATCCAGTTCTTGCCTTCCTGCAGAAGCCATGAAAAAAGAAATATAGTGAGGGGGAGAACTGCTTCTGGAGAGACAGCCTTCCCTCCTGCTGAGGACCTTGTTCTTTTAGCCTGCAGGTTTCACTCTACCAAATTAAAACACACACACACACACACACACACACACACACACACACACACAGATAGAAAAATATAAAAAAAAAATTGCATCTGAGGCTGGAGGTGGAGCTGAGTGAAGAGCCCCGGTGTCCAGTCCTTTATCAATGGCTGAAAAGCATCAGGCCCTGACCAGCTTTCATACTCCAGGGCCATGCATAGAGAGACGTTCATTCCAGACTGAGAGAAGCGATGCAAAGGAGAAAGTGGTCCCCACTCCTATCTCTACGCCACTCACTGGGACGAAGACACCCTGGGCGTCTTTGCAGCCACAATGAGTCTTGAGCACACACTTGTCATTATTCAGCACGTAGCCCGGTTGGCAGATGCAGCCCTCCTTGCAGGTGAAGGGGACTTTGTGGCCAGAGTCCTCGCAGCGGCTGTTGGGGTCCAAGCAGGAAGGTGGACAGGAAGGAAGGCAGTTTGTGTAGTGGCTGTGAGGAGGGCATTCCAGAGCTACGGAGTGGAGGGAGAACAGCATCCGTTACATCAGTTATGAGGGCCAGAAGGGGCCAAAGGAAGCAAAGGCTGCAGAAACAACATAGTTTGTCCCCGCTTTTTATCCATTCCACACTGACTGAGTACGCATGAGCTGTGTGTTAGCCCTGAGGAAATAAATAAATGAATAAGGTTCTTTTAAATTAATGTGAGAAACTTAGCCAGGCCAGTCAGCAATAGCAAAGTGACCTTCATGTCCTCAGTCCTCCTAGACTTATGTGTATAGGACATATTGCTATAATGGGGACGCAGGACAGGGAGGAGAAACTGCCACGGGATTTAAAATGGTCTTTCAGGGAAATAGCTGTGTGTGGTGCCTCAGAGCTGTACCATCAGCACTTGGAGTACAGAGGCAGGAGGATCCAAACTCAAGGCCACTGTCAGCTACATAAGTAAGTTTAACAACAGAGAAAGACAGGGCTGAAGAGATTTCCCAGAAATAAAGGTGCTCGTTAGCAAGCCTGAGGACCCGAATTGGATTTTCGGGATGTCAGTGAGAGGAGAGAATTAATTCCTGAAAGTTGTCCTCTGACCTCCACATGTGTGTTCTTACATGTATGCATATACACACACATGCACACACACATACACACACAATAAAATGTAATAAACAAAGCAAAACAGAGAGTGACCAAATGGAACATACACTGTATTCATGAATAAGGAGCGTCAGCAATATGCTGTTCACATCAATTATTCCTCAGCGAATTAACTTGCTCCTCCCCCATCCCCTCACTGAGAGATTCTAGGCGATCACTCTACCCCTGAGCTACATTCCTAGCCTGGCTGACTTAGCATGTATATTACATCATATATCTTAAGCTACTTAGAGATGGTTAAAAGTCTATTGGAGGGTATACACAGGTTCTATGCAGACTCTATGCCATTTATGAAAGGGACTTAAGCATCCTCAGATGTTGCTACCCTTGGGGTTCCTGGACCCAATCAGACCCCTGCTGATATGGACAATTATAAGTACTAAAAAGTTTTAATCATCCCACTTGCTTTGCATTTTAAGATATCTTACTTACGTGGGTATGTGTGTGTGCATGCATGTGTATGTGTATCTGTGTAATGTGTATAAGGGTGCTCACAGAAGCCAGAAGAAGGTATTAGATGCCCTGGAGGCAGAGTTACAGGGGTTTGAGAGTCAGCTGATGTGGATGTTGGAAACTGAACTTGGGGTCCTCTGCAGGAGCACTTAACTGCTGAGCCATCTCTCATGCTTTAAAATTTTAAAGGATCTTCATTTATGGTGAGGGCTACACAATTGTAGAGATCCCAAAATTGTTCTTACCTACTGAGTCATCTCTCTGGCCTTAATGTTTGTTTGGCTATACAACTGAGCCAGTGCTCTTAACCTCTGAGCCATCTCTCCAGCCCCCCCCCCCTTTTTAGGTTACAGGGAACATACCTATTACCCTGGTGTTCAGGAGGCAAAAGCAAGAGAACCTTGAGTTTGAGGCCAGCCTAAGCTACAGAGATATGTGGGGAGAAACGGGGTCTGGGAATAGCTATGGGGTGACTCCAGGGGAGACTCACGGCAGAAGCTGCTGTTCCTCCATATAGGTGGCTTGAGCCCCTGTTTCTGGCAGGCATCCTGGAAGGACTGAAGAGCCTCACAGAGGGCACGGAAGAGTTCTCTGAATTCACAGAAGTTGTTCATACATCCCAGCAGGAAGGGCTTAAGGGATACCCGGGAAGCACACTGGGCCCAGGTAGGACCCTGGAGAGCAGTCTGACAGTTTGCTTGGGCTTTCTGGAAGTCAGTGGGCCTGCAGTTTCTGTTCATGATCTCCTGTTGCTCCACTTGGATATTCTGCTCTTCGATTTTCTGGCAACTAGAACAGGAAAAGCAAGGGCTCAGAAGAGCTGGGCGTGGTGATGGATGCTGTGATCCCAGTACTTGGAAAAGGGGAGGCTGGAGGATCAGAAGTTCAGAGCCGAGGCTGGTGAGAAAGCTCAGCAGGCAAAGCACTTGCCACCAAGCCTCAGGACCTGAGTTCGGTCCTTGGAACCTACATAACAGAAAGGGAGAGAATGGATTTATATAAATTGTCCTCTGACTTCCACACATGCACCATGGCACGTGTACACACACAAACACAATTCATAAAATTAAAAGAAAATGTTTTAAGTTGCTCAAGGAGGCTGGAGAGATGACTTAGTGGTTAAGAACTTGTTGCTCTTGCAGAGGAGCCAGGTTCAGTTCCCAGTACCCACACGATAGTTCACAAGCATTCATAACTCCAGTTTCAGGGGATCCAGTGTCCTCTTCTGATCACGGTGGGCACCAGGAACACATATGGTACACAAACACACCTACAGGCAAAACACTCACACACATAAAATACAATAGAAATCTTAAAAAACAAAAAGTTGCTGGGCAGTGGTGGAGCATGCCTTTGATCCCAGCACTTGGGAGGCAGAGGCAGGAGGATCTCTGTGAGTTCAAGGACATCCTGGTCTACAGAGTGAGCTCTAGGACAGCCAGGGTTATGAAAATCAACCTTGAAAGAAAGTTAGTTGTTCAAGGTCATTTTTAGCAAAAGTGAGTCTAAGACTGTCGTGTACTATGTAAGATTCTGCCTTAAATACACACACACCATATATAACCAATAACAATAAATTTAAAATGGAAGTTGGGAATGTAGTTGCAGGGTAGGGCCCTTGCCTTGCATGTCTGAGGTCCCCTGTACTGCAAAAATAAAAGAAGCTAAGTATGGTGGTGCGTGCTTGCAATCCTAGTGCTCAGGAAGCAATGGCAAGAGGATGTTGGTGAGTTCAAAGCTAACCTGGTCAATTTATTAAGTCCCAGGCCAGCCAGGGCTACACAACAAGACCCTGTCCTGAAAGGGCAGAAGGAAAAAAAGGAATGGAAAGAAGGAGGAAGGGAAAGAGGAAAAGAAGAGGCAGAAATTACGAACAGGTGGCCAGACTTAGAAGACCATTACTTTGGGTCCATGTGCTTATCTTTCCAGCTCTCCATGAACTCCTGCTCATCCTGGGCTAGTTCATCACTGGATGTCATGAGTTCATCCTCTTCTTCACCATTGAAATTCCCACACACACCGCAGACCTGGAGGGCAGAGAAGAGTAGGTTTTCAGGGCTAAAAGGGTAGAAAGGTTTTTCTTTTTCTTTTTTTTTTTTTTTTGGTGCTGGGGTGAAACCCAGGGCTTCGAGCAGGTATTCTACACCACTGAGCTACAGACCTCATTGCCTTTTCATTATTTTAACTTTTATTCTTTGGAAACAGAGTCTTCTGTACCCTAGGCTAGCCTCAAACTTGATGTGTAGCTGAGGATGACTTTAAATTATTGATCTTTCTGCCTCCAGCTCCTAAGTGGCGGAATTACAGGCTTGTACTACTACACATAGCTTATGCATTGAAGGAATGAACCCAGGGCTTCCTGGATAGTAGATAGGCACTCTTCCAAAAGAAGTAAAACTTATGCCTTCTAATATTTGAGACACGGTCTCTTTGTGTTATCCTTTCAAGTGCAAGGATTGGAGACGTGTGGCCAAAATGCCAGGTGCTAAGAGCATTTTTCATTGATGCATACTTGTCATCTATAAATAGACAGGAACACTTGGCCTTCTTCCTCTACTCTGGAGAGTGACCTCTTTGGTGTGTTCGAATGGGGTACCATTTTATCCCCCAAAAAGTCACCTCCCCACCAACACAGCCAGTTGTTTCCCTTCTCACCTTTCCATTAGAGGATGCAGGGATTTTGATATCTAAGAAATTGTTGCTCTCAAATTTGACTTGAACTTCATCCTTAATTGTGACAATGGTATAGACGTCTTCAGTTGTGATGCTGACTCCTGGGATCTGGGTCGTGGCAGGAAGGGTGACCAGCGTGTCATTGATCTGAAGAGGAAGACAGAACCATGAGTACATGAAGAAACCAGAAGCCTCTCCTTCCAGACTTTGCTCCTCCTCCCACCCACTGTACCTAGCTCACCAGGACTGAATGGCGCTCTTGCAGAGTGACTCGGAAGCTGAAGATGTCAATGTATAGCTGATAGACACTGAAGGTCTTGGGTTTGGTGCGGGTATGCTGGTCAGCCTTGGCACTGATGGTGAAGAAAGGCAGGTTCATGCTGGGGTGGCAGACTTTGACCATGATGTAAGTACACATGTCTTGGATAGGATGGCTATGGCCATCGAAGCTCACGATCTGGGAATCCTCTGAGATATGACACTCTCCCATCTCTGTGGAGAAAGAGGTGGATGAGGGATCATTCCAAGATCCCTAGGAACATAGTTCATCCTTCTCTCTAGTCCAGGCCAGAGAGGCCCAAGAGAGCAGGGACCACATTAAAGAAAAGAATCAAAGGGCAGGTAAGATGTGACTCACGCTGCTGGGGACTTATGCCATGTGTGGTAGTTTGAATGTAAGTGACCCCCATAAGCTCACAGAGTGGCCTTATTAGGAGGTATAGCCTTGTTAGAGGAAGTGTGTCTCTGTGGGGGTAGGTTTTGAGGTCTCTTTTGCTCAAGCTACACTCAGTGCGACAGACAGTTCACTTCCTATTGCCTGCAGACGAAGATGTAGAACTTTCAGCTCCTTCTCCTGCACCATGATTGCCTTAATGTCATCCACCATGAAGATAATGGACTAAACCTCTGAACTGTAAGCCAACCCAATGAAATGTTCTCCTTTATAAGAGTTGCTTTGGTCATGGTGTCTCTTTGCAGTAAATGAAACCCTAAGACACCATGGGAGAGCAGGTGTAGGCCAGTGAGATGAGGGAACAGGTAAGGACACTTGCAGCCAGGCCTGAAAACACAACTCTGATTCCCAGAACCCACATGGTGGAAGAAGAGAACTGATTGACATAAGTTGTCCTCCATGTGCACAGGTTCCTGCTGACTTCGCCACACAAAATAAATAATAAATGTATTCTTAAAAAAAAATTAAAGAAAGAGCTAGGTATGGTGGGACATGCCTAAAATCCCAGTACTTGGGAGGTAGACAGAGGAAGATCAGAAGTTCAAGACCAGCCTAGGGTAGGGGAGAGGGAATGACAGTGTGAGTTCTGCTACAGGTCCTTCAGATATAGTCAGGCTACGTCAGACTCAGCATAACAGGGGATGTAGGGAAGAAGGTGGAGGACTTAGAAAGCCGCTCCTAGTGACTGACGGTTCCCTTGCAGGATGCCCTGCTTACCTGCAGCACAGCGCAGCAGCCCATTCTGGCGCAAGCACACATGGTTGGCCTCACAGGCCGTTTGGTTGCAGGTGACATTGCTGTGGACTGAGCACGTGCAGAGGGTGGTGCAGGTCTTCTCTGTGTACCAGCTCTCCCCCAACTGTGGGGCATGGCCAATCCAAAAGGGTAACTGCGTTTGGTCCCTTCCCTTCCCCCATCTTTTTCCCTTCCTTCCCTCCCTCCTTCCCTTCTCCTTACTCTTTCCTCCCCTCCCTCCCTTCATTTTCTCCATTTTCCTCCTCTTCCTCAACCTCTGTTCTTCTTCTATCTGTCCATCTATATTTTCTATGCAACAGAGTCTCACTATGTAGCCCAGGCTGTCCTTGAGTTCATGACCCTTCTGCCTCAGCCTTCCCCAACACCAGGGTCTAGATCTATTTTTCTGTCTCTCAGTATCTAGCCTTTGTCCTCATCCCCACTCTGTCCGGTCCCACTTTTTCTTACTCTGAGGCTTCCACTTCCTCTTGCCTCCCCATACCCACATGAAGCCAGAAAGGGAGACCATCCCTGCCATATAGCCTCTCACCAGGTGGTAGGAGCCGTCCTGGTCACTGCAGCCACACTGTCTGAGGGGCACACAGGTAGTTCCACTCAGGATGTGGCCTGTCTGGCATTCACAGCCCTCGACACAGGGCAGGGTTGGACAGTCTCTTGGGCTGCTTAGGGTGAGGCAGGTGGCTGGGCAGGGGTTGGCACAGGGGTTATAGCTGCTCCTGGGTGGGCACCTCAGAGCTAAGAAGAACACAAATGTTAAGAACGACAGAATGGCATTGCTATCTCCTGACCTCGGAGTGACAGTCCCTGGGAAGGTTCACTGATGAATGAGGAACCCTAGTCCATCTGGGGGATAGGTTTTTAAATCTTTTTCTGTTTTTGAGGCAGGGTCTCATGTAGCCCCAGCTAGCCTTGAACTTGCTATGTAATCAAGTATGCTCTTGAATTCCTGATCCTTTGCCTTCATCTTACCTGTTCTAGGATTAGAACCATGCCTTATTTTATTAATTAATTAACTGGCTGACCATTACAGGGTTTGGTTCTGTAGCCCAAACTGACCTCATAATCCTCTTTATTCAGCCTCTTGATTCTAGGGTTGCAAGCATGGACTACCACACATGGCTCTCATAGCTCTACAATGAACTATTATGTAGGCTTCCAACGGAAGTATGACCTGGGCACAGCAGGCAGGACACACCTAAAAGCTCAGGAGGCTGATGCACTGCTAAGAGTTCAAGGTCAGCATGAGCTATATGACACCTGTCTGAAATCCTATCTTCCTCCTCAGCCATGATGAATGCCCTGGTATGTGCTACAACATGGATGAACCTGGAAAATCACGCTAAGTGAAAGAAGTTAGTTACCATAGGACACATACTATATGATTCCTTGTGTGTGTAAATGTTCACATGTGTGTGGATATATGTGTGGGGATGGGTGTGTATGGGCGAGGATGTTAAAGGTAAAGCCTAACTTCCGGTATCATTTCTCAGGTGCTGTCTACTTTTTTTGAAAGAGAGAGAGAGAAACAGACAGACAGACAGACATGCACAAAGAGAGGGGGAGAGAGATAGAAGACAAAGAGAGAAAGGGGAGAGATAAAGAGAAAGGGTATAATCTATGCAGTCCCGACTGGCCTAGAACTCCCTAAATAGCCCAGGCTGACCTTGAACTCCTGACCTTCCTGCCTCCACCTCTCAAGTGCTAGGATTACAAGTACCGAACAACCACTACTATTCTTACAGGAAGCTAAGTTTGCAGAGAAAGGGGGCTGAGGTGGGGGATGGAGTGTTGACAGGTCAGACTTCCAGCTGGGAAAGAAAAGGTTCAGGTGATGGATGGTGGTAGGGATTGATGGCTGGAGAACAAAGTGAATGCCCTTCTTACCAGTCAATTTTTTTTGATTTGTACACTTAAAAATGCTCAAAATAGTTTGGACATTTTATACAAATGGTGTCACATACAACCCTTTGTGGCTTCTCTAGTAAGCAGAGTTTTCAACATTCATCCCTATTGAGCTAGAATTTCATTCTTTTTCCAGCTACACAATTGTAGGAATGTGCCCCATTCTGTCTATCAACTGCACAGTAGATAAGACATTTGAATTGTTCCCAATCTTTTTTGCTCTTGGTATGGTCTTGCTAGATAGCACAGGTTGGCCTCCAACCATCCTTCTCCTGCCTCTGACTCCCAAGTACAGGGATTACAGGTAAGCACCTAGCCCAGACTTGCATCCACTTGTTGGCTGTGAGGAAAGGTGTTATAGACCTAGATGGATGAATTGTGGTTCAAATAAGTTATTGTCCTCAGCACGCATGCCAGACTGGATTGCAGGTCAGATGATAAATCTACTTTAATTATTTTTAGGAACTGCCATACTGTTTTCCCCAAATGGCTAAAATGGGGGGGTTTAACTCCACGGTGGTGGGTCTGCCCAGTATACACAGAGCCCTGGGCTTGATCCTTAGCACTACGAAGAGGGAAAAGGAGGCTGTAAATCTCAAATCCCAGCAGGCAAGAGGGTGTTTTTTTTTTGGGGGGGGGGGGTTCAAGACAAGGTTTCTCTGTAGCTTTGGAGCCTGTCCTGGAACTAGCCCTTGTAGACCAGGCTGGCCTCGAACTCAGAAATCTGCCTGCCTCTGCCTCCCAAGTGCTGGGATTAAAGGCGTGTGCCACTACCACCTGGCAAGAGGGTGTTTTGAGAACACTCTAGACTGTACAGAAGTTCAAGGCCAAGCTACTTACCAAGGCTCTGTCTCAGAAACCAAACAAACGGGATTGGGAAGATGGCTAAATGGGAGAAGTGCTTGCCAAGTAACTGCAGACTAGAATTGGGATCCCCAGCAACGGCATAAAAACTGGGTGGGCGTGGCTGTCTACCTGTAATCCAACAATTCAGAAGGCTGAGACAAGGGATCCCAGGGTCAAGCTGGCTAACTGGACTAGCCCATGAAAAAGTTCCAGGTTTATTGAGATACCCTGCCTCAGCAAATAAAGTGGAGAAAGATCAAGGGAGACACCTGAGGTCAACCTCTGGTTCTCTCTCTCTCTCTCTCTCTCTCTCTCTCTCTCTCTCACACACACACACACACACACACACACACACACACAGAGAGACATGGACATACATATCTGCATACATATGTGCCTACACATGTAAAAATGAATATGCAGGGGCCAGTAATGGATCAGAGGATAAGTAAGTGTGCTTGCTGACAACCTGCTGACCTGAGTTTTATCACCAGGACCCTCATGATGGAAGGAGAGAACCAACTCCTGCAGTTGTTCTCCAACCTCCACATGCACACTATGGTTTGCACATACATGCACACGTGAAAGAAAGGAGTGCATACCCACATGCACACCACACACAAATACACAGTAAAAACCAACAAATCCAAACAGAAAACAAAATAAATTTAAAGCAATTTAAAGACTGCTTCTGGCCAGAAGGATGGCCCATGCCTTTAATTCCAGCACACAGGAGGGAGAAGGCAGGCGGATCTCTCCACCTGATCTACATAGCCAATTTCAGGCAGCCAGGGTCCCACAGTGAAACCCTGTTTCAAGATTAATTAATTAATTAAAAATACTTTTTTTAGCCAGGCAGTGGTGACACACGCCTTTAATCCCAGCACTCGGGAGGCAGAGGTAGGCAGATCTCTGTGAGTTCGAGGCCAGCCTGGTCTACAAGAGCTAGTTCCAGGACAGGCTCCAAAGCTACAGAGAAACCCTGTCTCGAAAAGCCAAAAAAACAAAAGACAAAAAAAAAAATACTTTTTCTAAAAAGGAAGAAGAGGACAATAACTAGACACAAGGCCAAAGTTTTGATGATATAAAAATCAGACAGATTCAAGCATGGTTGGTATACACCTGTAATTCCAGCTCCTCTTCACTTACACAGCAAGTTGGAGGCCAGCCTAGGTTACACGAGATCCTGAAATCCTGCCTTAAAAAAGGGGTGGGGCATGGGGGGAGGGAGGCTCTGGCACTGTAAAACAGAGCCAAGCTGAGAGAGGCAGAATGGAGAAGAGAAGAGAGCTTCCTGTGGGTGTGGATGCAGGCTGAGGAGCAGGGCTGAGAGATGGGAGAGGATGGGGTTCTCAGGATTCAGCAGGGGTGTAGGAGCTAGAGGAGGATCACTCACGGCAGAAGGTGCTGTTGCGCCAGGTAATCACTTGGCCAGCTTGGGCACACAGCGATGCATAGGCCTGCAGGGAGCGGCACAGGGCCAGGATGTCTCCTTTGGTCCCACACTGGCCGTACACACAACTGGAGAAGCTGGCCTGCGGGGGCACTGCTTCGTGACAATTGGAGAAAGGTCCTGGAGGACAAGACAAGGTCGGGGAGAGGAGAGTGAGCCCTGTGAGCAAGCTGGGCCTTGAGGCTTCTGTATAGCTGGTTTAGGGGATGCATGTGTATCTGTGTGTGTGCACAAATGCATGCGTAGACCAGAGGACAACCTCATTTCAGTCCTCAGGATTCATCCACCTTGGGGTTTAATTTTTATTACTATTATTATTACTGCGTGTCTATAATATATCTGTATGGGCATATGTGCTATGGCATGTGGAGGTCAGAAAACAACTATGTAGAGTTAGTTCTTTCCTTCCAAATTTACATGAATTCTGGGAACAAAACTCAAGTCAGAGCACGAACCTTTACCAACTGAGCCATCTCACTGGCCCACCTCATCTATACTGTGTGTGTGTGTGTGTGTGTGTGTGTGTGTGGTATAGAGACACATGTGCCGCAGCACATATGTGAAGGTCAAAAGACACCCACAGGAGTCAGTTCTCTCCTTCCATATGGGTCACAGGGATCAAATTTGATGGCAGGCACCTGTGTCCTGCAAGTCATCTTTCCAGTCTTCCATCTTGCTTTTTGAGACATGGTCTATCATTGACCAGGCTGGAACACACCTAGTCAGCTAAGCTGGTTAGCTGTGAGCTCCAAGGATTCGCCTATCTCTGTTCTCTCAGCCCCGGGATTACACATGTGGACCAACATGCCTGGGCATTTTTATAAAAGTTATTGTTTTGTGAGAAAGGGGTATATATGCATGCCACAATACCCATGTGGAGGTTAGAATACAACTTTCTGTAGTTGGTTCTGTGGGGATTCCAAGGACTGAACTCCGATCTTCAGGTTTGACGGTTAAGTGCTTTTACTCTCTGAGCCATCTTTCCAGCCCCACATTCGGGTTTTGTATTTGGGTTCTAGGGATTGCAGTCAGGTCCTGTGCTTACAACACACGCACTTTCCAACTGCGCTATCTCCTCTGCTGTTGCACAGCTAACTTCATGTCCACTTGCACCAAAGCCTGGATGTAGTCTGGCATGGAATCACAGGCCTGTAATCCCAGCACGTGGGAGAATGAGGGAGGAGGAGCACCATGATTTTGAGGCTAGCTTGAGCTACATAGTGAGACTGAGCCCACCCTGGTCTGAAACAGGCCTTATCTGAAAAAACAAACATGGTCTGGAAATGTAGCTCAGTTGTGCTTGCCTGGTGCACCCTGGTTTTGATCCCCAGCACCACATGAACTGGATGTGATGGTGAACATCTGTGACCCCAAGCATTCAAGAGGTAGAGGCAGGAGGATCAGAAGTTCATTGCCATCCTTGGCTACATAGCAGGTTCAAGGCCAGCCTGCAAAACACACACACACACACACACGACCTTGTCTCAAAACAAAAACAAACAAAAACCAAAACAACAATGGCAAAACCAGGAGCACTAGGAACCTGTGCTGAGAAGGCCTGCCAGGCATGGCTCCTAAGAGATAGATAGTCTGTACTCCTGCCGGCCTCCCTGCCTTTCCGTCTGCTGCTTCTCTGGCTTTATCCCATCGTGACCTGTTCCACCTCTTGTCCAGGGCAGAGGACAAAGGGCACTGGGAGGAGACGCTTCTCACCAATAGGGTTCATCAAGATGGCGCATTTTTTAGTCCAGGCGTCGTCCATGCTGTTCTCTTGGCAGCTGGAGGACTTGCCCCCAACTACAAAGCAGCTGCAGGAGGAGGAGAGGAGAGGTTAGAAAGGCTAGGTTTGAGGGAGAATCCTCCAAACTGAAGCTAAGCCATGGAGAGGGGAAATGGGAAGGAAACACGTTGGCGCCCTCAAGTGGGAAGGCCAGGGGACACATTAGGAAGGAAGAGGCTAGCGGCCAGTGGGGCTTCTCAAACCTCGGCGTCAAAGGCAAGGATGAGAGGAGTCAGCTGGCACAGGCCTGAGGAGCCAGAACCATTTCATTAAACTTTTTACATTTTTTGGGGGACAGGGTCTCCTACATAGCCCTGACTGTCCTAGAACTCACCATGAAGACCAAACTGGCCTCTAACATAAAGAGATCTACCTGCTTCTGCCTCCCAAACGCTGGGACTAAAGGCATGAGCCACATGCCTGGCTTGTTTACCTTTTATTATTTATTCTTTGATGTTTAGTTTATTATGTTTAATTACATGGTTGTGTGTCTGTGTGTGGATATATGCACATGAGTGCAGACGTCTGGAGAGGCCAGAAGAGGGCATCAGAACCCTTTTAGCTGTAGTTAAAGGTGTTTGTGAGCCGCCACGTGTGTGCTGGGAACCAAACCTGGGTCCAGTGCAAAACAGGAAGCACTCTAAATGCTGAGCCACCCTCAGCCCTTTTCTGAGACAGGGTCTCATGTAGCCCGAAGTAGCTTTGAATTCACGATATTGCCCAGAATGACATCGAAGTACTGAGCCCCTGCCTCCATCTCCCATCTGCTGAAATTATAGTTATGGACCATCATGCTTGATTTACGTGGTGTTGGGGATGCAACCCACGGCTTCATATATACTAGTAGAGCACTTTCCCACTGGGTTACACCCAGTACTGTTGGAACTTTTCAGACTTGAGGTCTCAGGTCAGGAATGTGGCCCTAGCCATTGGCTATACGTTTATCTGTCATAGGCAAAGCCCTGAGTTCCATCTCCAGCACTGGAAACTCAGAGAGGCTGAAGAGCAGAACTGGCTGGATTCCAGCAGTACAATGTACAGCACAGAGGAAACCAGACAAACAAAGGACACTCATTTGCAAACTTCCCCCCAAAAACTAGTTTCCCTAAGCCCAGCTCAAAGATGCCCAGGTCCCCCAAGTTCTGATTTCCATGTCCATCTTCCTATGCCCATTTTTCCTTAGGCCTAGCTCACTCGCTGAGGCTCAGTCTTCACCAGACCTACCTCACCCAAGCACATTTCACCCAGGCTCAACTCACCTAGTCCCAGATCCCTACACCCAAACTCACCCAGGCTCAGAAGCTTCAAGTATTTTCCAAGCAGCTCCCAGAAGAAGTGAGTTGCCTGCAGGCTTCCCATCTGGACGCAGATTGTCATCCAAACTGTTATTGTTGTAGTTCCCTAAGGAAGAGAGACGTTGTAGGGATGGCGTACGTTGCATAGGGTCACCCTTGAACTCACTAAGTAGCAGAGCTTCAGGTCCACCTAGTTCTGAGGCCACTTCCTTTCCAACTAGAAGACACATTGCTTAATGCCATATTAAAGCTAACCCTTTGGTCTTTTTGTTTTTCTTTTAGATGACAAGGTCTATATACAGCAGTCTAGCCTTGGACTAACTATAGCTAGGGATGGCCTTTCAGGTTCATCTCCAAGTCTTGGTATTATAGACATGTACTACCGCCTAGGTCATTCAGTCCTGGGATGAGACCCAAGACTCCCTGCATTCGAGGCAAGAGCTCTACCGATTGAGCTGCAGCCCCAATCCACCTGCCATCTTTGTTCTGAAGCAGGTTTCTATGAAGCCCCGACTGCCCTTGAACTCACGGCCTGACAGAGGGTGGCCTCTACCTCCTGAGGGCCATTACATCCAGAAACCCTTTCCCCTTTCCCTCTGGCTTTCCCAGACACCTGCTTTGGGGGTGTCCTCAACTCATTCATTGGTTGACAAGTTCTGAGGACACCGTGGAGACAAGGGGAGTGGGGGATATTTCCCCAAGGGTCTTACCACACAGCCCACAGAGGAAGCCAGCGTATAAGGAAGGCACTGTCACCTCCACCAGGTGCTTTCCGTCAAATCGAACCTGAAGCCCAAAGTCCGTGTAGAGCAGGACAAAGATGCCGCTCAACCTAATGGTCACCCGTCCTTTCAGAGGCCACACAGGGAGTGCCACCCGTTGGTTGTTCAGCTACAGAAATGGGCACAACATAGGAGAGAGAGTCAGAAACTTGGGACAAAGATGAAATGGGGCACAGTGGGAAAAAAATGGAGAACAGGATAGAAGGGTTTGGAGCTCAGCTCTTGGAGGTAGAAGCAGAGGAAGGGGTAGTAGTTCAAAGTTCTCCTCGGTTACATAGCAAGTTCTGGGCCAGTGTGGACACATGAGACCCTACCTCAAAATAACAACTGAAAGAAAAAGGAAGGAGAAAGAAGTCGGGTGGTGGTGCGGGGTTGTGGAGGCAACAGAAGACACATACCACGGCTGTTCGACCTTTGAACAGGGAGACTTTGAGGTCGAGGACCTGCACGTGGACAGCTTTGACACTGGAGACTTCCAAGTTGCCCTCACGAACCTCGTTGGTGACACTCACTACAAAGTTGTTGTCATGAGCATTGGACCAGCAAGGCTGAGTCAGTACGTAAGTGCAGGTGCCCATAAAATGATGCAAAGCTCCATCAAATGTCAGGTAGTGGGGGTCACCTGAGGCAGTGCAGGTGGCTGCACCTAGAGAAGAGAGGTCAGGTTTTGGTGTCTCGTTGCCCCACACCCCAGAAGCCTTGAGTCAAGGCTGCCATCTTAGGGAGGCTGTTTTGAGGTGGTATACATCCTTGGATTTCAGTTCCTTCTAGGGAGAATTGTTGGATTGGCTCAGGAAGGTCAAGGAAGGAGACTACCTTCCTCAACTTCATGTTCTCAGCCCTTGAAGATGCTGATCCTACTTTGAAAGTTTGGATCTGGAATCCCAAAGACACATGCATATGCCAGAATCTTGATTCTCCAGCTCAGTATTATTGGGAAATGGTAGAAACTAGGAGTGGCAGAAGGTTTGAGGTCAGTTGGGGGGATGTTGTTGAAGGGGATTGCACTTCTTTCTCTTTCCTTCCCTCAAGTCCCAGCCATGATGCAAGGAATGTTTTGTTCTGCTGTTTCCCAAAAGGATGTGCTGTCTAACCACAGGACCCAAAGCAACAAGATCAAATGATCACAGACTGAAACCTCCCAAACGAGGAGATCAAGGAAAACGTCCTCCTTGTCCTCCTCACTTTTCTCCGCCTTCCCCCTCCCTCCTTTTATTCAATAATAAAACATTTGTTGATTTTTCACACAGTCCAATTACTTCTACACAAACGGCTTCAAAGTAGTTATATGGCCCCAAAGGATTGTGGGTTAACAGTCTAGCCAACAACCTCAGGACATTTGCCCCTCTGCTCTCAACTGTTCCCCCCTCTCTCATCACTCTGAACACTTACTGATCCTAGGGGGAAAGAAACCCCCTGAAGCGTCTATCTAAGCCCAAATGAGCGAAAGCAGTGATATTTTCAAACCCATAAAAACTCAGGGAGATGGGACTGAGCATCACAGCGGACAGCCTTAAATGTTGGGTTCTTCTGCCGTCATAGCTTCAGATGAGACCCTGACATACCAGGAAAGAGGGCACCTCATGGCAAAATCGCCTCCACCAGATTGGCCTGTGAGTAAACTTTGGGGGCATTTCTGTGATTCTTAGCTGATGTACGAGGGCCCGGTCCCCTGGAAGCAGTACAGTCCCTAGGCAAGTGGTGCTAGGCTGTTGAAGAGCTGAATTTGACTTTGGAAGAAGCCAGCAGCATTGTTTCTCCAGCTCCTGCCTCCAGGTTCCTGCCTCAGCTTCCCTCAATGAAGGACTGTTAACCTTCATTGTAACAAGTAAGTCGAAATAATCCTCTTCCTCCCCAGGTTGTTTTGGTCCTGATGTTTATCACAGCATAGAAAGGAGAGGAGAACAATTTGAGAAAAACCTCGCTTTTGTTTCATGAGGTTTTAAGGAAGTCTGAAAGCGCAATGCCAAATCAGAATTTTACAGCTAAATTGTACTCTTCACAGCTATTTCTCCCAGTTAGGGTCTGATTTCCAATGAAAACTGTTCTTGCACATTGACTCCCCAGTATTGTCGGAGGGCTGTAAAGTTTCAGTCTCCTGATAGGACATGCAATGATCATGCAACAACACAAACCAAGAAACCCTTTGCAAGTAAAGATTAATGTGACATTTAGGCCAAAGAAAACATCAACGTGGCCTTAAAAATATGAACTCTCCACAGAACGATCAACCAATTAAAAAATAAAATAAAAGAGGCCTAATTTTTTGAACTGCAAACTGCTGCATTACTCTTACTTCTGAAGGCAATAAATCAATAAAAACTCCCCCAGCGGAAGTCCTTAAACAAACGAAATGCTTACTTCTTATTTTGTTTGTTTGTTTGGTGTTTGCTTTTGGTTATTTTGATGATGGTGGTTGTTTGGGGTTTTTTTGTTTTGTTTTGTTTTTATCTTTTGAGACAGGGTTTCTCTGTATAGGTTTCTTTTTTTTGTTTTGTTTTTGGTTTTTCAAGACAGGGTTTCTCTGTAGCTTTGGAGCCTGTCCTAGAACTCACTCTGTAGACCAGGCAGGCTGGCCTCGAACTCGCAGAGATCCTCCTGCCTCGGCCACCCAAGTACTGGAATTAAAGGTGTGCGCCACCATCGCCTGGCAAAATGGTTTATTTCTGAAAGTATACATCATATCTGCTCCAAAGAATAAAGACACCCAGCTGGTTGGTGGTGTATACCTTTAATCCCAGCACTCATGAGGCAGAGGCAGATGGATCTCTGAGTTTGAGGCCAGCCTGGTCTACAGAGTGAGTTCCAGGACAGCCAGGCCTACACAGAGAAACCCTGTCTCAAAAAAAAAAAAAAAAGATAAAAACAGACACAACAAAGAATACCTCACCAAGAATGTACGCAGTAGTAGGAAGTAATGAATCGAGTGTAGCCTAAGGATATGGAAGGAAACACATTCTAAGACCAGAGAGTTTTCCCACAACTAGAAGAACAAAAGTTATTACTTGATACCCGGTGTTTCTCATTTCTTTCTTGAAACCTTGGTAAATGTTCGGGTGTCGACAGCGTCCTTTAAAGGCAGTATTGAGATCTCTGCTCGTGTCCTCAGAGAGGGCTCGAACGTACTGGATCTTTGCTGAAGAGTCAGGCTCCAGGCCCCGCAGGTAACTGTCTTCTCGGAATTTTCTTCCCTCTCCCGGCAACCTCTGCTCTTCTCTTTCCTGCTTGAGTGTTCGCAGATTTTCAGAGGACTCTTCCCCCGGCACTTCTGATGGATACTGTTGCCCGGAAGTACCTGTTGTGTTCCTCACGGGTTCTTCTCCCGGAAGTGCCTGCCATGCTCCTCGCGGCTTCTCCCGGATGTGCCTGTCACGTTCCTGGGAGCTGCTCATACCGGAAGTACCTGTCATGTCCCTCGCTGGGTTCTTGGCTTCTCCCTGATGTGCCTGTGGCCTTGCCTACAGCTGCTCCTCCCAGACCTAGAGGTACTTGCTGGACACCTGAAATTTCCTGAAGGGATTTCCTGTTGCACTCCAGGCTCCTCACAGCACAGAGCAGAATATTCTGTCAAGCTCCTGATTTCGCAGATTCACTTCTTCCCAGGAACCATCTTCTGCTGTCTTCCTCTCCTTTCCTTCCTTTTTATTTATTTATTTGTTTGTTTTAAACAGCCTCTGGGCTGGAAAAATGGTGCAGGATAAGTGAAGAGCACTTGCCGCTTTTGCAGCCAGAATTCAGTTCCCAGCGCTCAGGATGTAGGGTTAGGGGAGCTTCCAACTGTCTGCAACTGCAACTCCAGGGGATGTGGCGCCCCCTCTGGCTTCTTCAGGTACTTACATCCACGTGTGCACCCAGTCTCACACAGAGAGACACAAACACATTTACAGTTAAATATTGAGACAGTCACGTGTAGCCTGGACTGGACTCAAACCAGCTATGCAGCTGAGGATGGTGACCTCAAACTCCTAATCCTCCTGCCTTCAACTCCCAAATGCTGGGATTACAGGCAGGCACCACCACCACAGCTAAAGCTTTCTTCTTCATAAATGGTTCTTTCTCATTATTTGTTCCAATCTCAGTAAAAATGACCAACGCAAATCTCTAGTTGAGTCCCTAGTTTTGGGGAACACTGCTTTTGGCAATGTTTTCCGTGTTACTTTACTAAGTTCTGCTTTCCATATTACTATATTACCAGATCTTGACAAAAGTGACTTAAGCATGGGGGCTTTCTGGCATGCAGTGTGCTGGGGAGGCCACCGTGGTGGGAAGGTGTGGTGAAGAGGATGTCAGGTAGCTCCTGTGGCATCCTTATAGCCAGGGAGCAGAGGAGATGGATGCTGGCGCTCGACTCGATTTCCCCTGTTCACGTAGTCCAGGACCACAGCCCATGGAACCATGAGGCTTCCATTTAGTGTGGGTCGTCTCACTTCAGTTAACTGAATCTAGAAACTTGCTAACAGACGTGGCCAAAGGCTTGTTTCCTAGATGTTTCTAGACCCTGTCAACCTGACACTCAGTATTAACCATCATCATCCTCTCAGATGAAGGCCCTGCTCCCCTTCCACGGTGACTCGACTGCTCACCTTGGGCGTGACAGCCTAACACACCATTCTTATGGCTACAGACTTCCTGAGCCCTACACTTCCAGGGCCGGCAGCGAACGCTGTTGTTGCCATCACAAGTACAGATTTCTTTGCAGTCTGGATTAAACCATTGCTCCTGTACCTGGGTGCAGAAGAGAAAGCAGTAAGAGATGGCTTCCTTGCCTGGTTATCTTGTCTTCCTGAAGCCCTGGGCTTAGGTGCAAAAGTCTGGTATCAAATAGGCCTAGTAGTATACCAAGTGCAGTGGGAGGACCCTGTTCCGGAAAGTGATGAAGCGGGATGCCTGGCATCCTCCACAGGCCTCCACACTACACACACCACACAGACAAATTAATAAGATACTTAAAAATAAAGAGGGCCAGCAAGGTGACTCAGTAGGCGGGAACACTTAGTGCCACAAAGCCTGAGGATCTGAGTTCAATCCAGAGACCCAACGCTAAAAGGAGAGCCCAACTCCCAAAGATTTTCCTCTGAGCTTGGCATGTGAGCACAAGCACACCACACGCTCCCAGTTAAAATAGACAGACACCCAGGGCAACTTCCTGCCATGAATATCCACTATCAATACTTGCTACTAAGATAAATTAAACAGAATTTATCTTTCTTTAAATATATAAGTAAAGGTGTCTCGGGGGCTGGAGAGATGGCTCAGTGGTTAAGAGCGTTGCCTGCTCTTCCAAAGGTCCTGAGTTCAATTCCCAGTATCCACATGGTGGCTCACAACCATCTGAAATGAGGTCTGGTGCCCTCTTCTGGCCTTCAGGCATACACGCAGAAAGAATATTGTATACATAATAAATAAATAAATATTAAAAAAAATAAAGGTGTCTCGCCTACATGTATGTCTGGGTGAGGGTATCAGGACTGAAGTCACAGACAGTTGTGAGCTGCCACATGGGTGCTGGGAATTGAACCCAGGTCCTCTGGAAGAACAGTCAGTGCTCTTAACTACTGAGCCATCTCTCTAGTCCTGAGAGATACATTCTTTTTGTTTGTTTGTTTGTTTGCGATAGAGTAGCTCAGCTGGCCTGGAGCCTCCCAAATACTGTAATAACAGGTAAGTGTCACCACATAGGTGAGGGATGTCCCTAACTTAGTTGTCAGGAAAGCTCCAGGCAGGAGGAAGGGTTGCAACAGAGCCTCAAAAGAGGCGAGAGATTCCAATAGGAAGAGGTGACTTAGAGGCAGAGCAGGGTGTAGGGGAAAGGCTTGCAAAAAAACAAAAAAACAACAACAACAAAAAAAAAACCAGTTTGGTGATGGTTACATGTAACCCTATCACCGGGGAGGCAAAAGCAGGAGGACTGAGTTTGAGGCCAGCAAAAGGTACATAACAAGATCTTCTCTCAAAACTTTGTGGTTAAAAAAAAAAAATGAAAAGAAAAACAAGTAAAAAGTTAGAGCTGGGGCTGGAGAGACAGCTGGGCAGTAAAGAGCACTGGCTACTCTTCCAGAGGACCCGGGTTCAATTCCCAGCACCCACATGGCAGCTCACAGCTGTCTGTAAATCCAGATCCAGGGGATCTGACATCCTCAAGCCAATGTACATAAAACAAGGTTAAATAAATCATTAAAATTTCTTTTTAAAAAAGCTAGAGCTTTGGTACATTAACTGGTACTACAACTTGGTTGGTAGCGCTCCTGCTTAGAATCCCCCAGTGAGGGGCTGGGGTGTGGCTCAGTGGTAGAGCACCTGCCTAGAATTGCCCAATGAGGGCTTGGGGGCATGGCTCAGTTGTTAAGCTCTTGCTAAACATACATAAGGCCCTGGGTTCCATCTTCAGCAACATCAAAAATAAAGAAAAGAGAGAGGGAAGGAAGGAAATTAGAGTAGAGCCAGGAGGGAGGGAGGGAGGAAGGGAGGGGGAGAGAGAGAGAGAGAGAGAGAGAGAGAGAGAGAGAGAGCTGAGCATGGATCCAATATGCCAGCCTTAGCTACTCTTGCTTTTGCTCTGACCTTCTCTTTCTTGCCTATCCCCCATTGCCCTCCCTCACCTCAACCCAGGGCTTCAGAAACCCAGAGCAAGTCCTTTCTGTCTGTAGGGCTGAGGGGTTCATGCCAGCTGCTCACCTTGAAGTAGCGTCCCTCGAGGCTGGTGCATCCACACTGGATCTGAGGGACACACTCAAAACCACTGAGCACAAAGCCAGGCTCACACTCACATGCTTCCACACACTTTTTTGGGCAGGGCTGGAGAGCAGATCCAGGATGGCAGGTGTCCGGGCATGGTTTGGCACATAGGGAGTACCTGCTGTTTTGAGGGCAGACCAAGGCTGTGGAGGGAAAAACTTAAGTAAGAGAACGGGCAAGCTGGCTGTGCAAACCTGTAAATCCAGGACTCGGGAGGCTGTGGAAGCAGGGTTGAGAGTTCCAGGACAGCCTAGGCTGCAGAGTGAGAACCTGTCTCAGAAAGTAACTTCAAAAGGAGATAGATGAGGCCAAGGGACAAGAGGAAAGAATATGCTAAGAAGGTCCCAGCTAGAGATGCCAGGACCAAAACTGAGAAATAGGCCTTGGAGTTGATGAGCCTAGGAGCTCAGCTGACAGCTAGGGCTTGCTGCTGAAGCTAAAACAATGGCCTGCAGTCTGAGGATACAGTTCACTTGGTAGAGTGCTTATATGCATGCATGAGGCCCTGGGTTCCAACCCCAGTGCAAGATAAACTGGTTGTGATCGTGCATGACTGTAACCCAGGCCTGGGGAGGTGGAGGCAAGAGGATCAAGAATTCAGTGCCATCTTAAACTCCATGGTGAGTTCAAGACTAACCTGGGCTACATGAGACCCTGGCTCCAAAAGCAAACCAAACAAAAGCCAAGCCTGTTGCTTGGATGGTACCAAGGCCCTCCATGGAAGGCAGATGAGCTCCGAGTTAGAAGATGTACCCACTCTGATAGATAGACATTCTCAATAAGCAAGTATGGTACCCAGCAAGCCATGAAGAGCCTGGTCCTGGGGATGCAGCTTCTCCAGAGGACTTGGAGATGGGGGTGGGGTCCAGGCCAGAGCTTCAACACAGTCTCAGGCCTTCACAGACTTCACGCATGAGGACTTGGGGGAACACAAAAGTACACTATCTTCTTCCCTACCGAACCAAGTAACTGTGGGTGCTTATTGTTCTGCCTTCTCTTCCTCTTCCTCCTCTTCATCCTTTTCATCCACCTGCTCCCCCTCTCCTATTTCTTCTTCTCCTTCTTTTCCTCCTCCTCCTGTGTACCCCCAGTGCTGAGGATTCAATCCAGGGCCTTGAGCAGCACATCAGACAAGTGCTCTACATCTGAGCCACACCCCAGCTTCTCACTGACAAGCACCCTATCACTAAGCCACACCCCCAGCTCCTCGCTGATGGATTCTAGAAACATGCTGTACTGCTACGCCATGCACCTAGCCCTCTTTATGCCTTTATGTTTTGAACCGAGCCTCCTTAAGATGGCCATCTTGGCCTTCAACTTGAGATCTTCCTGCCTTGGCCTCTCCAGGAGCTGAGGTTACAGAACCTGCTGTCTGGCCAGCTTACTCATTGTTCTCAGGCATCCTTCCAACTCCCCCTGCTACCCTCTCCTCATAGGTAACTGTAGTAGAGGGACAACAGGAGTACCCTGTCTGTATCTACAGGAAGCTCTGCCGGATCATTCCCCAATGCTTTGGGTCCTAACTCACGGCAGAACTGGGGTCTCCTCCAGGGCCTCACGGCATAGCCAGCATCTTGGCAGACAGCAGTCATGGCTGACATGTGAGTACAAAGCGTCTGCTGGAGCCCCTGGAAGCTACACATGTCCGACACACAATTATCCAAGAAGAATGAGGCCTTCATGTGGAACAGGCATGCCCTGAGGAGAGAGATTGAGTCAAGACAGCAGGAGAGGGCAGAGCCTCTGTTCTCCACCTCAGAGAAACCCTAGTGCTGAGCAACCCCAGGCAGCCCATCCGCCTTCTTCCATACTCAAAGGTTCCTCTTGGATCAACAAGCTGGCCACATAACTTGGGCTCCGACATAGTTCTTCCCAAGGCTGCATCACAAGATGGGGGGCTCTTCTTGTTCTGACACCTGGAAGAGACCCAACCCAAGCAGTCAAAAAGACTGGAAGAGCCCAAAAGAGGTAGAACAGCTGGAGTCTCCAGGTAGGGAAAGAGAAAAGGGCAATGCTAGTCATATTCTTTTGTTCCTTTTGAGACAATCTTACTACATTAACCCAGGCTTGACTTTGACCTTCCTCTAGTCCTGGAAACCTAAGGATCACAGGCAACCCCCAACCCCAGTCCGTTTCTTTTGCTTCAGTTTTTACATTGCTGAGGATCAAACCCAACACCTGGTGCATGCTAGACAAGATCTCCACTAAAAAGCCACACCCCAGCCCCTCACCGGGGGATTCTAGGCAGGTGCTCTACCACTGAGCCACACCCCAGCCCCTCACTGGGGGATTCTAGGCAGGGGCTCTACCACTGAGCCACACCCCAGCCCCTCACTGGGGGATTCTAGGCAGGGGCTCTACCACTGAGCCACACCCCAGCCCCTCACTGGGGGATTCTAGGCAGATGCTCTACCACTGAGCCACACCCCAGCCCCTCACTGGGGGATTCTAGGCAGATGCTCTACCACTGAGCCACACCCCAGCCCCTCACTGGGGGATTCTAGGCAGGGGCTCTACCACTGAGCCACACCCCAGCCCCTCACCGGGGGATTCTAGGCAGGGGCTCTACCACTGAGCCACACCCCAGCCCCTCACTGGGGGATTCTAGGCAGGGGCTCTACCACTGAGCCCCACCCCAGCCCCTCACCGGGGGATTCTAGGCAGGTGCTCTACCACTGAGCCACACCCCAGCCCCTCACTGGGGGATTCTAGGTAGGGGCTCTACCACTGAGCCACACCCCAGCCCCTCACTGGGGGATTCTAGGTAGGGGCTCTACCACTGAGCTATAAGCCCAGCTCTTGGTATTTAGAAACTGGATCTTGTTATGTCTGTGACTCCAGATGAATGACAGGCAGGAACAGCTAAGCCCAGTTCTGATAGATCTTAAAATGGGCAGAGGACTGAGAAAAGGAGGGTCACCCCTGGCCCCCAGTGGGGAGCCTCACTCACTCCTTGTTCTCTTCCTCTTTCAACTGCCAGCTCTTCCCCAGCTCGTCCCCATCTTGTGTCCTCGTGCCGTCTGGCTTCTGGTTATCATTGCTGCTGTCCCCGTCATAGTTCCCACAGAAACCACAGAGTTTTCTCGAGTAGGTACTGTGGGTCCAGGAGAGAGATGAGTCATGACTGGGAAGAAGGGTCTCAGTCATCAGAGACCACAGCAAGGGGGCAGTGCACTGTGCGCCCTGATGGCAAGAGGCAGGAGGAGGTTGAGAATATGCACTCATAACAGATTCTGTGACAGGCCCTAGCCTGAGCCATCTCTACAGGATCTCCTCTGTTCTTTCTGCTCAATATCCCTTGCTGCCCCTACCTTCTCATGGGTTTAAGCAAGAATGTCTCTCTCTCCCTCCCTCCCTCTCTCTCTCTCTCTCTCTCTCTCTCTCTCTCTCTCTCTCTCTCTCGTGTGTGTGTTTATGCACAGGTATGCATGTATGTGTGGGTCAGAGGTCAAAAACGGGTATGTTCCTCAGGTGCTGTCCACCTTATTTTTTTTAGTATATACATGTGAATATGTATTTTAGTATTTTTCTTTTTTTTTTTTTTTTTGAGACAGGGTTTCTTCCATGTAGCCCTGGCTGTCCTGGAACTCACTCTGTAGACCAGGCTGGCCTAGCACTCAGAGATCCACTTGCCTCTGCCTCCCAAATTGAAGGAGGGCATCACCACTGGCCAGTATTTGCTTTTATTTTATGCATATGTGTGTCTTGCCTGCACGTATATTTGTACACCACGCGCATTCAGTGTCCGCAGAAGTCAAAAGAGGGCATCATGTCCATTGGGACTAGAATCACAGACAGTTGTGGGCTGCCATGTAGGTGCTTGGAATTGACCCTGGGTCCTCTGAACTCTCAGGCCTGGTGAGTGTGTGTTTTACATACCCTCATGTGCACTCAGAGGCCAGAGAAGGAAGTTGGATGTCTTGTTTGATCACTCTCCACTTTATGTCTTTGAGACAGGGTCTCTCACTGAACCTGGAACTAGGCTGTCGGCCAGCAAATTCCAGGGATCCTCCTGTCTCTGCCCTGCACAGCACTGGAGTTGCAGGTGCACGCACAGCCATGTCCAGCTTTTAAGATTCAAGCTCAGGGCCTCGTGCTTGTGCATGAAGAACCCTTGCCCTCTGAACCATCTCCTCAGCCTCCTCCACCTTGGCTTTTGAGGAAGGGTCTCTCGCCGACCCTGGAGCTCAGCGAGTCAGGGTGGATGGCTTGCAAGCCCCGAAAGTCCTTTCATCCCTGCTTCCCTGGCACTGTAATTATGAACACACCACTGCACCCAGCTGTTCTTTGTGTCTGTGTGAGTTCCAGGGTTGGAATTTACCAGATGTGCCACCTCTAGTCCCCACGCCAACTTCTCCACAAAGCCTGCCTTATCCTTGTCTGGGGAGCCACTCTTCCCTGAAGAACGGCCTCTGGCAGCCGCTCCCCTGACTGCTCTCCAACACATTCCGGAGGCATTGTGTTTGCATCCTGCTGTTATCTCGCTGCCCTGACCCGACTTCCTACTGTTTCCCTTCTGTTGCTCAGGTTAGAGGCTTCCTAGCTTTGAGGACATATGTAAATGATTAACCCTGAGTGACTGGAATGGTGCAGGGTGGAGCATTCTGGGAGAGGAATGTCAGCTTCCTAACTAAGTTACCTCCCTTACCTGGGCACAGTCATAAAAAGCTGCTGGTCACCATCCCATTTTACACGCAAACCAAATGTCGTCCTCAACTCCACAAATCGCCCACTCAGACCCACATAGATGTTATTAGAAGGTATCACCGGGAGGGTGACTCTCTGGTCTCCAATCTGGCAGAAAAAGGAGACAGAGAGCGTGATCCAGGGGTCGAGGAGAGAGAGCCCTAAGACTCTAACATCACCCCTCACACAGCATCCCTCCAAATTCTCTTGCCTGGGCTGGTTTGAAGCATCACCATCATTATTTTGCTGAAGCCCATCCCTAACAGGGTGTGGGGACAGGTGGGGCTGACTGTAGCCTGGCCTGGAGGAACGAGCAAAGGATGGGACTCACCAGTGTTTGTCTACCACTGGTCATGGTAATGGTAGTCTCCGGCAGGGTGATGAAGACTTTGTCCAGGGAGGATACGCCTTCTACTCCCCGTTCTTGGGTGCTTGCTGTTATTTTAAAGAATGAATCTAGATGGAGAGAGGAAGGGCCATGTTTCAAACGTTTGTTTGTTTGTTTGTTTGTTTGGTTGGTTGTTTTCAGACAGGGTCTCATTATAGCTTAGACTAGCTAAGAATGAACTTGAACTCTTGAGAGTACTGCCCTTGCCTCCCCAGTGCTGGTATCATTGTAGACATAGGCCACCATGTCCAGTTTATGTGGCGCTAGGGGTGGAACCCAGCCAGGGCTTTGTGCACGCTAAACAAGCACTCAGCTGACTGAGCCGCGTCGCATCCCCAGCCGGTTGGTTTTCAGACGTGGTCTTGCTGTGTATCCCAAGCTGAAACTGACAACCTCCCTGCCTCAGCCTCTAGAATGCTGGGGTTAAAAGTGTGCACCACCCCATCCTCTGCTTTCTGACACCCTGTTGGTGGTGGTGCCCGACTGGGCACTGTCAGGCAGACAGAATGTTCCATGATATGGCCCTGAGACTTGGTAAGGGACTCAGAACCCAAACGGAGAGGAACACGGCATGATTTTCTGCTTTCATGGTCTCTTGTCTCCCCTCTGTGGACTAGGACATCTTCAGGCAATCCTATTCATTCATGACTCCTTGTCACCCTTTTTGTGAAGACCAGAGCTGGTCTCAAACTGTGTAGCTGAGATGACCTTGAACTCCTGATCCTCCTGCCTTAGCCTACCCAGTGCGGAGAGGGTGGGCATGCACTCCACACTCACGAGGCTCTGGGGGTGGAAACCAGTGCTTCATGCCCACTAAGAAAGCACTCTGCCAGCTGAGCCACACCCTCAAGCAAGAGTCCCTTTACCAGTAATTGTCACTCTGCCACAAGAGCAGGCAGTTGGTACTGTCAGCGGCCTTTCCCCAGGACTGTGGGACTTGAAAGCACCGCCTCTGTGTGTGTGCATAGCCCAACCGCTGCTTACCAGAGGGCCTTGGTCCAATGCAGCCCCGCCCCAAGCCTGACCCTTATTCTATCATCCCACCCCTTCCCACCCCACCCCACCCCCGCCGCTCGGGCTTGAATCTCCTACCTGTGGAGCTGTCACAGGTCTGGGCCAAGATATAGGTACACGTTCCTGTGAAGCTGATGTGCCTCTCATCAAAGGTGACAAAATGAAGGTCCCCATAGACCAGGCAGGTGGCAGTACCTGCCAGAGAAAGGGAATGGAGATGTAGGAAGCTATTTCCAGTGTCCAGCTTGACTGAATCCAACACACCAGCCCCTCCTACCCAGAGACAATCCCAGCTCCACGGCCCAAGGCATGTGGGGCGCACAGGCTCTGACTCTGACAGGGTGTTGATTTACAAAGACACTAGGGACGAGTTTCTGGGGTCAGAACAGCACATGCAAACGTGGGGATGGGCAGTGCTTACCATAGGGCTGGCATTCATATTCGCCACTCTTCAGCAGGCACACCGTGTATGTCGCACATTGGGAGATCTGACACTCCATCCGGCTACCGGGCAAGCAACGGCACCGTTCTGTGCAGTTGGGACTAATCCATTCTTCCCCAGGCTAAGGGCAACAGATGGAGTGTCACAAAGCCGCAGTTCTAAGGTGCGTGTGTGTGTGTGTGTGTGTGTGTGTGTGTGTGTGTGCGTGTTTCCGTGAGCCATGGCACAAGTCTGGAGATGAGAGAACAACTTTCTTGGGGCATCTGTTGTCTCTTTCCACCATGCTGGTCCAAGGGGTGGAACTCAGGATCGAGGCTCAGAGGCAAGGGTCTTTACCTGCTAAGCCATTCCACCAGCCCTCCTGCTGTGTTTTGTTTCTGAAACAGGCTCTCACTACATCGAACTCAGGTAATTCTCCTGCCTCAAGCGCGCTCACATTGGCCTGCAGACACCTCTGGGGGTATCGTCCTATTGCCTTCATTGATAAAAGTGCATACCCCATTCTCTGGTTGGTCCTGGACTACACGAGAGTGGAGAAAGCCAGCTGGGCACTAGGCGTGCATGCACTGGTCTCCCTGTGCTCTTGACTGAAGATAGAGTATAAAAGTAAAACCATCTTTCATTCCTGCTACCTTGACTTCCTCTCAGTGATGCTCTGTTCCTTCAAGCTATGAGCTACAGGAAACCCTCACCTCCCAAGGTTTGTTTTTAGCCTGAGTATTTTATCAGAATATTTTATGAAACCAAAACATATCTTTACCAAAAAAATCTAATTTTTTTGTTGATTTTTTTTTTTACACCATGTCTCATGTAACCCAGGCTAGCCTTTAATTCCCTTAACCAGCTGAGGATGATCTTGAACTCATGATCCTCCTGTCTCCATCTCTCTACTGTTATGATTACAGGTGTGTGCTAGAACATCTAACTGTATATACTCTGAGGTAAGGAGAGAAGAATCTTGAGCCAAGAGTAGTAGTGCACACCTATAATCCCAACATTTGGAAGACCGAGGCAAGAGAATGGACACAAGTCTGTGGGCAGCCTGGGCTACAAAATGAGTTCCAGGACAGCCCGGAGCAGCAAATAAGACTCCACCCAGAATGGCAGCAACAAAATGGAGTAGCTTTTCCCTCCTCTTGTCGGAACGGAAACATGGCAGAAGAAGGAGAAAAGCTGGATGTAGCTCAGGGACTTGTCTGACAGGCTGAAAATCCTAGGTTCGATCCTTAACGCTGCACAGCTGGAACCCAGTATGTGGAAGGTGGAGGAGAAAAAGCAGATGTTGAGGAGCTGAAGGTCCGCCTGGGACATATGAGACTTGTATCTCAAAAGAAACTAAATGAGTCAGGCAGTGGTGGCACACCATTTTAATCCCAGTTCTTGGGTGGCAGAGGCAGGTGATCTCTGTGAGTTTGAGACCAGCCTGGTCTACAGAGTGAGATCCAGGACAGGCTCCAAAGCTACAGAGAAACCCTATCTCTAAAAAGAACCAAAAATGTGATAGTTGTATAGCTTGGCCCTCTTGTGGGACTCCTAACAGTGGGAACAGGGGTGTCTCTGACTCTTTTACTGTCTTTTGGGACCCTACTCCTCACACTGGGTCACCCTGCCCAGCCTTAATACATGAGGAGATAATCTTACTGGAACTTAGTATTCCATATGCTGTTGATACTCATGGAAGACCCGTCTTTTCCTAAATAGAAATGGAGGGGTAATGGATTGTAAAATAAATAATAAATTTATTAAAATTAAAAAAATAAAATAAAAACTAAATAAATACAAATGTAGGTCTTACTGTGCATATTATAGCCATGGGAAACAGATTTAACAAGATAAACATTCCCAAGGTCATGCAGAGGACGCATGCTGCATCCATGTCCCAGCTCTGCTACCTAACTCTAGATCTGTCTATTATGCTAGTCACCAGCCATACCTAGTGACTGAGCTCTGGCAATGCAATTAGTGGTAGAGCACTATCCTAAAGCCCACAAGTAAGGGATTGGGAGTGTGGCTCAGTGGTAGATCCCCTGCCTAGAATCCCCCAGTAAGGGGCTGGGGTGTGGCTCAGTGGTAGAGCCCCTGCCTAGAATCCCCCAGTGAGGGGCTGGGGTGTAGCTCAGTGGTAGAGCACCTGCCTAGAATCCCCCAGTGAGGGGCTGGGGTGTGACTCAGTGGTAGAGCCCCTGCCTAGAATCCCCCAGTGAGGGGCTGGGGTGTGACTCAGTGGTAAAGTGCCTGTTCAAAATCCCCTAGTGAAGAGGTGGACTGTGGGTCCTTGGCAGATCACTTCCCTAGAATGCAGGCTGTCCTTGGCTCCATCCTCAGCACTGTAAAACCAAAGCCAGTGCTGAATGGATGGCTCTCCCATTTTATAACCAATCCTTCGAGCCTATACCCTGGAACTTTCTAGCCTCTTCTCACACAGAGAGAAAGCAGGGGCACGAGATCCAAGGTGTTCTGGCATCAGTTCCCCTTTGGAAATTTGGGCATCCCCGGAGTCATACCTTATAATATTTGTTGCTATAGAAGCAATTGCAGGAAGAAGCATTAATACATTGATAGTTCCTAAACAAAAATCCAGGATTGCAGACACAGCCAGTTCTGCAGGGGGCGTGGCAGTGGGGCTTGGGGTTCTCACAGGTTGCAAGGCACGCACACAATTCCAAGTGGGCATTTGGAGGGCAGCTCTCTGGAAGGAAAGCACAGCCTTCATCAGGCTTCCATTGCACAGCTGCCTCCGGCCCCAGAAGCCTCCCTGTCTCTCTCCTACTCTGAACTCCAGTTCTTTTCTAAGCAAGCCTGCCTTTATCCTTCCATTAAAAATAAGAGTGAAATAGCTGGGCATGGATGGTGGTGTCTGTGGGAAGCCGAGATAGAAAGACTGCCAAGGGTTCAAGGCCAGCTCCATAGTGGATTTGAGGCCAGCCTGAGCTACATAACAGGACCTTGCCTCAAAAACAAAAAGTTCTGACCAATGTTGTAATGAGGTCGACATCTTGAAGACATTGTTCTCACAAATATGTTATATGGTTCCACTGATGTGAAATATTCAGGTCCAGGTCAGGTGTGGTGGTACGTGCCTGTAATTCTATTGTTCTGGAGACCAAGGCAAGGAGATCATCAATTTGTGGCTAGCCTGAGCTATGTAGGAAGACAGGAAGGCAAGAAGGGTGGGAAAGAGAATGGAGTCAGGAGAAGGAAGAAAAGAGGGAGGGAAGCTGAGGATGATTCGGTTTGTGGCTAGTGTATCTGCAGTCTGTGTGTGCCTTTTACGTCAAGTACCTCCCTCCCTAATCTCCTCATTGTCTTCTACAGAGAGCTCCAGGCCATGCTCTTTCCACTTCATACCTGTCGTAGTTATACCTGTAGCCAGGGCCATGCCAATCATCGAGACACCTGGAACCTGTGATGGGCTTGGACAGGGTGTTTACCTGTTGTGGGCATTTGAATGGGAGTAGATTGCTCTGCAAAGACAGTCGTCTCTTCATTGGGGACAATAGTCCCTTCAGGAGGGGTGGCAATCTCCTCAGGAGGGACGCTGGTCTCTTCAGGAAAGACAGTGGTCCCTTCAGGAGGGACGGTGATCACTTCTGGAGAGGTGGCAGTCTCCTCAGGAGGGACAATGGTCTCTTCAGGAGGGACGGTGGTCACTTCTGGAGAGGTGGTGGTCTCCTCAGGAGGGACGCTGGTCTCTTCATGAGAGACAGTGGTCACTTCTGTAGCGACAGTGGTCACTTCTGTGGCAGCAGTGACCACTGCTGTGGGGACAGTGGTCACTTCTGGAGAGGTGGTGGTCTCCTCAGGAGGGACGCTGGTCTCTTCATGAGAGACAGTGGTCACTTCTGTAGCGACAGTGGTCACTTCTGTGGCAGCAGTGGCCACTGCTGTGGGGACAGTGGTCACTTCTGGAGAGGTGGTGGTCTCCTCAGGAGGGACACTGGTCTCTTCATGAGAGACAGTGGTCACTTCTGAAGTGACAGTGGTCACTTCTGTGGCAGCAGTGACCACTGCTGTGGAGACAGTGGTCACTTCTGGAGAGGTGGTGGTCTCCTCAGGAGGGACGCTGGTCTCTTCATGAGAGACAGTGGTCACTTCTGAAGTGACAGTGGTCACTTCTGTGGCAGCAGTGACCACTGCTGTGGAGACAGTGGTCACTTCTGGAGAGGTGGTGGTCTCCTCAGGAGGGACGCTGGTCTCTTCATGAGAGACAGTGGTCACTTCTGAAGTGACAGTGGTCACTTCTGTGGCAGCAGTGACCACTGCTGTGGAGACAGTGGTCACTTCTGGAGAGGTGGTGGTCTCCTCAGGAGGGACGCTGGTCTCTTCATGAGAGACAGTGGTCACTTCTGCAGTGACAGTGGTCACTTCTGTGGCAGCAGTGACCACTGCTGTGGAGACAGTGGTCACTTCTGGAGAGGTGGTGGTCTCCTCAGGAGGGACGCTGGTCTGTTCAGGAGGGACAGTGGTTACTTCTGTAGGGATGATCTCCTCAGGAGTGACACTGTCCTCTTCAGGAGAGACAGTGCTCTCTTCTGCAGTGACAGTGGTCGCTTCTAAAGTGAAAGTGGCCACTTCTGTGGCAGCAGTGACCACTGTTGTGGGAGCAGTTGTCTCCTCAGGAGGGACACTGATTCTTTCTGTGGAGGCCATGGTCTCTTCAGTGGAGACAGTGGTTGTTTCTATGGGGAGGATAGGGACCATGGTTTCAGAAGAGCCAATAGGTGGACTCAGAGAACCGGAAGGAGTCTCCATGTGTGGGAATGCTACAAAGAAAAACAAATCCCTGTAAATTCATTAAAATTAGGCCACCTCCCTTTCACTCACCCAAATAGGAGTGGGTGGGCTCATGGGGGCACTTAGTCACCCCTATTTCTGTTCCCAATCCCCAACCTTCACTCTCTTACTCAAGAGGCAGAGTTCCCAAAGCACCTGACATGGTGCCAGGTACAGGAATCACAAAACTGAGCAGGAGATAGGTCCTGCCTTCAACACCACTAGAGAAGGAACGGTGTGGATCTGGTCACAGAAACTCATGCCATCAAAGACTCCATCATAGTGCCCCACCTGACATTGAGGCAAAAGGATCACAAGTTTGAGGCCAACTGGGCTACATTGTGATCGCCTGTCTTACAGGGAAAACAAAACAAGTTCAGCAGGAAAGAACTTTCCCAGGATTCCCCTGGTGAGGGGCTGGCACCATGGCTCAGTGGTAGGGCCCTTGCCTAGAATCCTCTAGTGCGAAGCCAGGGTGTGACTCAGCACTAGAGTGAGCCTGCCTGGCAGGTCTGAACCACTAGGTTCTAGTCCTCATACCAGGGAACAGGGAAGAAGCTGGGCCCTCGAGTTTTATCTTAGCCCGACACGGTCCATGACTGATCAAGATGTAATTCACAGCGATGACAAAGGCAGTGCTGGTCCCCCGGGTGGCCTCAAGAAGCAACTGAAGGCAATGGAGGACAAAGGAAGAAGAACAGGAAAATAAATCCCCAGAAACTCAAAAACTCCACAGTGCCTGTCCTCTACCATCCATCAGACCCCCAGCCTCTGGAGCCTTAAGTCCGCCTCTTCTCTGGGTTCCTCCCCTCTTATAACCTGACTCTGAAATGCCCCATGCAGGCATGTGTTAGCATACTTGGTCCCCATCTAGTGGCACTGTTTTGAGAGGTTGTAGGACCTTTCAGATATAGGCTACTGGGAGACAGGCCTTTGATGACTGTAGCCTGACCTTGCTTTGGGTGCTGGTCCCTGCTTTGTGATCTTTACAAGCCACTCAGCAAGCTCATGAAGAATGAGCCCAGCCAACACGCCTTTCCCACCATGATGGGCTATACCCTCCTCCCACCAAAAAAACCAATCCTGAGTCAAAATAATCCTCTCCCTGCATAAGGTGCTCCTGTCGGGTACCCAAGAGAACTAACGTATCACCTTCCTAACTCAGTTTATCGCCCACCCCCTTAGTTATGAACCCCCTTACTAAGCCCCACCCCCAGATACATACAAGGCCCACTCTCCATCTCTCACCTCCATGGGCTGCTGATGTCCCTTAAGGATGGTGACAGAGCTGTTCACCCAGCCAGTGCTCTGAGACCCAACACGTTTCCATAGAGAAATGGGAGAACTGCCCGCAGGACTCCCCAACAGGAGCTTGAGCGTGGTACCTTCTCCGAGGCCGTACATGTGGTAAGCAAACTCCACACAGACATCCCCAGGGGCACAGAAGGGTGGACTCACCAATCGGGCAGACTGTCCCACCTCGGGTACCATGGCTGAATCGAAGTAAATATAATGTTCCCCTGGGTGAAGGAAGGGAACCAGAAAGGTGAGACTTCACTCCACACACACTGATTTCTGCCTACAAGTCAAGTCTAGCAGCTTGCTGTAGTCGCGCCTAACTTTCTCTTTGCTGTTTTCTTTAGTTTCTAAGACAGGGTCTTGTCGTACACCTCAGGCCCGTCTAGAACTTACAATATCCCCACCTTAGCCTTCCCATCACATGGAGGCTTCACAACTACACTCTGCTCCTTTAGGACTGACTCTTAGCTGAAGAAGACCCAAAGACATGGGAAACCCAGTCTACAGATTCTATCGGCATTACCTGCAAATGTCTTGGCTGAAAATAAGACAGTGGATTTTGAAGTCTTGGGCTCAAGGCAGAGCAAAGACTCTATTGCTCCTCTCCATCCTACCCCCAAAGCCAGGGGTGGAACCTAGGGACTTTCACACGCTAAGCAAGTGCTCTGTTGTTGAGATGCACACACACGTGCGCGCGCGCGCGCACACACACACACACACACACACGCACGCACGCTTACATATACACACAAAGACACACACCAGCCCCTCTTCGGAGGACTCTAAACAACCGCTCTACAACTGAGCCATGCCCATATGGGGAAGCCTGGATTTCCTGTTGGGCTGCAATGATCCCACAGTCTTGAGCATCCTTGGCATCATCTGCTTTCTGGGTCTGAGTTCTCATCCATCCACACCTGCAGGAGGTTGTTCCCTCCATCCCCCATCATCCCTAATTCCTACATCATCCTCATGACACCACCAAGTCCCTAGCTTAGATGTAGATGCAAAGATCCATAACCCCGAGGGGTTCCTCAGTCTCCTCACCTCCATATGGGAACTCTCTTGGGGGTCCTGAGATGGGGGTGGGAAAACTTTTACTCCCCCAGCTCCAGTGCCCAGCGTCTCCTACCACGTGGTTCCAGTCACAGAAAGGATGAACTCTATCTTCAAAGTTGCACTGGGGAAAGCCCTCTAACAGATTCCAAGAGGAAAATTTGAGACACAGACTGTGCCCACCCACTCCCCCCCCCCGACACCCATTATTCCAACCCCTAACTCAACAGGGGTTTCCGAGGTCTGTTTTTACCCCCACAGGGAGAAATGCTGATGGAATCCACGGCTATTGCTGGCTCTGGCTTCTCTCCAAACACACCCACCACTATGAACTGAAAAGAAGAGGAGAATAGACTTGGAGTGATCCGGCCTCTCAACCCTGCATGCCCCACCCCAATCCTCCAGTCCTCTTACAAAGGCTAGGATTAACCATCAACTTGACGAACTCTAAAGTCACCTTGGTAGACAGGCCTCTGGACGTGCCTATTGGGGGATTAACTTGGTTGTGTTCAGCGAGGTGGGGAAACCCACCCACCGTGGGCAGTGCCCTTCCCTGGCTGGGATCCTGGACTGTACTGGTGGTGAGAGGAAGCTGAACAGCAGCAAGCACTCTCTGCTTCCTGATTGTGGGTAGGACAGGACCAGCTGCTTCAGGCTCCTGCCACCATGAATTCCCCCCTGTGGTGGACTGTACCCTCGACCTGTCAGCCAGAATGAGCCCTTTGTCCCTTAATTTGCTTTTGTTAGGGTATTTTGTCACCTTGACAGGAGAAGACACCTCCCATCTGGCATTTCCATTAAGACCGAGAGTCTTTTCCTGATGCCAAGACCCTCAGCTCACCCAACCCTACGAGAACCTACCACACGCAAGGACTCCTAATGAGGACCTCGCCCCTCTGTACCTGTATCATTCCCTGTCCTGTATAATTGACAGACACAGACTGCCAGTTGAGTGCACGGTGTCCTGAGAAGAGAGTGTGTTTCCGGATGTTGCCTAAAATGGAGAAAACACAGAAGAGAAGGAAGTTTATGGGGACTTGGAGTGAAGGATAAGTTGCATGGGGAACTCTAGGGCAATATTCCTCCAGATGCAAGCAATCCCCTAGCCTCCCTCTCCCTCTCTCTCCCTCTCCCCTCTCACCTATCTATCATCTATCTATCAATCACCTATCTATCATCTATCATCTATCTATCTATCTACATTTCTCGTGTCTCTCCTGCTTTGTGTGTATGTGCACAGCACATGTGTGCACTCTTGCTCCCACTCCCCTGTTTTGTGTGTGTGCATACATACTCAAGTATGCATTCTTGCTTTTGCTACAGTAGGTGACCATGGAGCCCCCAAGGATCCTGTTTCTGCCTACCCAGTGCTGGGATTGTAAGCAAGTGTTACTATGTTTAGCTTTCTTCATGGGTGTTGGGCATGGGAGTCAGGTCCTCAAATTTGTGTGACAAGCACTTTAATATCTGAACTGCCTGACTGGTTTGCTTCTGTTTATTTGACAGTCTCCTGTAGAATAGGTTGGCTTCAAACACACTTTGTAGCAAAGGCCTTGGCTTTCTAGTCTTCTGTCCATCCATCCCAAGTGCTATGGTTATAGACATGGCCCACCATGACTGGCAGAACTTTTACTTTCTAGAAACCAGAGCCCTTCTCGTTTCTAAAACATGGAACAGTCTCACAGTACATTGAGTTTTCCTAGATCCTGAAGAGATATTCTTCCTTATTTCCCCATCAATCCAACCCTCCCAGAGGCGCCCTGGTCAACCATCTCCTCTAACCTAAGAATGAAGCATAGGCAAAAAGGCCTTCGCCAGCCGACAGGCCGCGCATTACGTATTGGAAAGACAGGGTCAGGCAGCCACTGGAATGGCTCAGGGGACTCAGAAGTACAGCTTTCTGTCCTGGTCTTGCATTCGTAGGGTCCAGGAGCATGTAGTAGCCACCTGCAAACGAGAAAGTCAGTGAAGTAAAATGGTTGGGATGGAGGGGAGGCGGTAAGCAAAACGAAGGCGTAGGGACTTGGGGAAGAAAGGGATTTGGCCTTGGGGAACTCCAACTGCCGCCTTAAAACGTGGCAGTGGTGAGGGGCTTACACCCAGTCACGCCTGGCAGAGTGCTTGGACTGTGTAAAGACCTGGTGTCGCTATAGTAACTGCAAACATCCTCGTAAAAACAGCCACACAATCTTGTCTCTTTAGTGCTGACTCTTCAGGGCTCTCAATCTTAGCCAGACAGCAAATCAGTCTGTGCAACTAGTAACCAAGGGGAGAGGGAGTAGGGTGTGCCGTGGAGGTTTGTACACGCATGCGTACTCGTGTCCAACGCCCATTGGCTCCCTGAGAACCTTGGGCTGAGGGAGGCCAAGAAACCAAGAAAAAGAGCAGGTGTCAGGAAAACAGAAGAGGAGGGTAGTGATAAAAAGCAAAGGAGAAAGCAAGGAAGAGGAGTAGAAAGTAAGGAAGAAATGGCCGGGCTTGCTGGAGCTTGGAGTTTCAACCGGCGCTTTGGGAGCCGAGGCCGGAGATTGGAACTCAAAGCAAAGATTAAAAACCCAACCGACCACCACTAACACGACTGATTTGGGACATAATGTTAAAGGCTAAAGGGTCCAGAGGGGATTTACCAGGGGTTTCAAATGAAAGGGAAGAGGAGGCTGAGGAATTTTCTAGAAGGTAAACCTCCCAGAACTATGTGGCAATGAAGAGGAGGGCCTCGTGTGAGACACAAAGGAAGTAGAGGATAGCGGAAACCGGAAGAGATCTCCCAGGCAGGAGGACAGGAAGGGGGGAAGGCAGAAGGGATCACCATGGAATGAATGGGAAGGAACATTTTGGCTTAAAAGACTGCAAGACTTCCTCAGAGTCCTCATCAGACCTTGCTGTTCCAGACAGCAGCTTCTCAGCAGGAAATCCACATGGCAGAGTGTGCTGACCAGGCTCGGCTGGCCTGAACTCACAATCTTCCTGCCTTGGCCTCCCAAGTGCTTGGGTTACGGGTATATTATCACCATGCCTCCCTCTCTCCTTCCCTCCCACCCCTTTTTGTTTTGTTTTGTTTGTCCTGGAACTAGTTCTTGTAGACCAGGCCTTGTAAACCTCGAACTCACAGAGATCCCCCTGCCTCTGCCTCCCAAGTGCTGGAATTAAAGGCGCCACCACTGCCCAGCTCCCTTCCTTCCTTTCTTATCCCCCCTTCCCTACCTCTCTCTTCTTTCCGTAGCACTGAGAATGAAACCCATGGCCTTGTGCATGCTAAGCAAGTACATTACCCCTGACCTACATCCCTAGCCCTTATTTTTTGTCTAGCCCAGGCTGTACTTGAACTTGCTGTGTAGACTAGTCAGTTTTTGAACCTCACCTCCTCTTGCCTCAGCCTCCTGAGTGCCGGGGTTACAGGCATATACCTTCATACCTGGCTCCTTGCTGGTTTTACACACTGATTCTCAAGTTTCTGGGACACTGTACAAGGTAGCTACTCAGTAAATGCCAGATGGATAACTGGATGAATGAAGAACAGAAGATGCCAAGGAAGGAGGTAAGAAGCTGGCTGTGCCGAGGCTGCTCAGCAGCCGTCGTGGCAGTGGAAGGGGGGGAGCTGGAAAGTACTGGAAATCATGCTTCTTTTAAAAAATGATTTGTTTAAATGATTTACTTATTTTTACGTGCATTCTTGTTTTGCCTGCATGCATGTCTGTGTGGGGGTGCCAGATCCCCTGGAATTGAAGTTACAGATAGTTGTGACCTGCCATGTGGGTGCTGGGAATTGAACCCAGGTCTTCTGGAAGAGTAATCAGTGTTCTTAACCACTGAGCCATCTCTCCAGCCCGAAATCATGATTCTTGTCATGATCTCCGAGCTGAAAGAAGCTTGGGGATGCTGAGCTTCACCTAGCCTGACCTAAGAGTGCTACTGTAGGAGATGTAGAGGTCACAGGAGCCCAGACAGTCAAGGGATATGTTCAATACTCACTGCCAGGGCTAGAGAAGTCGTCATCAGGTCCCACACCCAGTATCCCCGATGATCCCTTCTTCTGAGTCCACTTGGCCCCGGTGGCAGTTGGGACCCAGCTCCAGCCACAGAGATTGTTTAGAGCATCAAAGTTGCACATCTGGGACATGCATACTGAGAGAGGGGAAAGAAGAGAAGGGGCTGGGGTGTGGCTTAATGGCAGAACACCTGCCTAGAATCCCCCAGTGAGGGGCTGGAGTGTGGCTCAGTGGTAGAGCACCTGCCTAGAATCCCCCAGTGAGGGGCTGGGGTGTGGCTCAATGGCAGAACACCTGCCTAGAATCCCCCAGTGAGGGGCTGGGGTGTGGCTCAGTGGTAGAGCACCTGCCTAGAATCCCCCAGTGAGGGGCTGGGGTGTGACTCAGTGGTAGAGCACCTACCTAGAATCCCCCAGTGAGGCTCTAGGGGCATGGTTCAGTAGTAAAGGACCTGCCTAGGATCCCTCAGTGGGAAAGTGGGTCGTAGCAATAGAACACCTGCCTAGAATTCCCCATTGAAAGGCTAAGAGGGATTGAGAGCACTGGCTGCTCTTCCAGGGCACCTGGGTTCAGTTCCCAGCACCCATCTGGCAGCTCACACTCGACTTTAATGTCAGCTCCAAGACATCCTCACACAGACATACATTTGGGCAGAACATCGATGAACATGAAATAAAAATAAATCATATATATTTTTAAAAGAAGCCCATTTATTAAAAACAAATGCTAAGAGTGCATTGTAGCCACAGGACACTTATCTAAAATGCTCCCATATGGGGCTTAGGACAGGGCTCAGCAGTAAATTTTCCTAAGACCTTCCAGTGAGGGACTGAGGCCATTGTTCAGAGGTAAGGTCCTTGGCCAGAATTCTCCAGTGAGAAGCTGGGAGCATGGCTCAGTGGTAGAGCATTTGCCCAGTATACACAAAGCCCTGGTTAAACCCCAATATCAAAAGAAATGAGTTTTCTGCCATAGGAAAAAAATGCCTCCGCTTGGGGTCTGAACTCCGAGGTTCACTCTCAAGGCTGTAGTGAGCTCTAAAATGAGGCCCACCTCTCTCTTATTGCCCATGAATGCCACTCTTGGCCCAGATTCCATAACCTGGAATCTCTCAGTAACCTGGGAATCAGCTCTGTGTGAAGCTGTAAATTGAATTATGTTTGTGGAGCATCTGGCCTAGGCCCCATGTTTGATGAGTTTTCCCTTTATAGCTTCTGGATTTTTCCTTTCCAGTCAGTTTCAAAGGGCCATTCTGTATGTATCAGAGTCATTAGTAGGATGGGACTAACACCTATGGTGACTTCACATTCAGGTTTTCATGGAACCAAAGGCTAATTTTGTTTTGGAGACAGCGTGGAATGAGGCCCTGGGCTGTGTAGGCCAGGATGACCTTGAACTTGGGACCCTCCTGCCTCTGCCTCCAGAATGCTGGGATTAAAAGTGTCCCACAGTACACCTGTTGAATGCAGAGCTGGGGATGGAACCCAGGCTGTGTGCACGCTGGGCACGTGCTCTACCGACTAAGACACAGCTCCCACCCCACCAAGGGTTTCTTGACACATGGGCTTTCCAGTGCTAACATAGACCAGCCTGTGGTCATGTGTCCTGGTCAGTCACTGTAGACCGGATATCCCCTATAACTCCATCTCGAAAGGGGACCTCTTACAGAGCGACTGCTTTAGGAGCCAGGGGTCTGGGGCGAGCCTCAGTTCATGAGAAACCAGGGTCCAGGTCGCTGAGCTGTCTTACCCCTACTTCGGAAAGTTTGACAGGGGTCAGGAGAGGGAGAGGCGCCCGAGAGGGACAGGAACTCACTCCGATTGCAGGTGCCCTTTCGGATAGAGAGGCCATCCAGAGAGATGTCCAGGTAGGCGGTGTTGCCCCTCATGCCCTCAAACATCAGCTGTGGAGTTAGGAACAAAGAGACCCTGACCCTGTGAGTCACATGGTTGGCTTCCCTTCTCTGCTGCGGCTGCTGATGTCCACCCCGAATTCAGATGACTGGGGATCCAGGTCTCTTTTTAAAAACTACATTCATTTATAGCACATGGCACAGATGGAAGAGTCAGAGGACGTCTTGGGAGTTGGCTCTAACCTTCTACCATATGGGTCCTGGAGACTGAATTCAGGTCACCAGGCTTGCTGCAAGAAGGCTCCATGTGTGCCCTCTGGATCCCCTCTTTGCCATTGCCTACCTTCCTAAGCCCCTTCTTCCAGACCCTTCTCTCCCAAATCTCTAGATCTGCTCTCAGCCTCACCCAGCTCGGTATATCACGATCTGCTGGCACGGTGACCGTGGTGGGCATCCAGGAGGGACTCTGGGTATTCACGTATTTCCAGAGCACGTTGGGCCGGTGGTACCTCCGACCCCTGAGCAGCATCAGTCTGAGCTGCGCACCCCATGACAGCCCAAACATGTGGAAGGCGAAATGGATGCAGAGCGGGCCTTGCTCCCATATGTCCGGGCTGCGCAGGCGTGCCACTCCACCCCGAGGGAAGGTGCTAGCATCCATGTGCAGGTAATAGCCTTCTATGGGGAGACAGAATGGGGGAGGTTGAGACCCCACTGTCCTCAGGAGCTGACCCCTCCACCCTCCCTCAGCTCAGCTTCCAGTAGTCCCCTCCCAACTTCATTCCTTTTCCACGGTCCTCCTCCAAATTTTAGGCTTCCCTCAGACTCATTACCTCCATTGGGGTAGCCCCCGGGGGGGCCAGAAGTGCCAGTGGGGGAGGGTCCAGTCGTTCGAATCCAGTCCCCATCATCCGTGGACATTTGAGACCAGTCACACAAAGGTCTGGTGTTATCTTCAAAGTCACACTTCGTGAGAATGGCTGGGGAAGAAAGAGCCTCAGTGAGGCCTCGGAGAGGGCAGAGGGCAGGGGTCAGGTCACAGAGCCATACCAGGAGATGGGGTCAGCAGGGTCACTAAGCTTAGAGAAGGCCACCACTAAGCGTTCACACCCGGAGCAGAGGTGCGGGAGACAGAACTTCTGGGGAGAAATGCAAAGCCAGGGAAAAGAGTAGTTGACAAAGTCAGGAAGCGCAAACTGGAGTCTGAACTGATTTAGTCAGACAGGCCTTGTCTTGGCGTGTGTTTTATTGTGGCTATTATCATTATATTATCCTGGGGGGGTGTGCGTATGTGCACATGAGCATGCTCGAGTGCATGCTAATGTGGTGCATACGTGTAGAGAGCAGAGGTTAACATCAGGTGTCTTCTTCAGTCCACCTAATGTTTTGAAACAGGGTCTCTCATGCCCCAGGGCTCACTGATGAGGGCTCTGACTGGCTAGGGAACACTAGAGATAGGTCCTCCTGTCTCTCTGCCTCTCTACTGCAGGGACCAGAGGGTGTGCTCCCAACCCAGCTTTTTACATAGATACTGGGGATCGAACCCAGGTCCTTATGCTTGTGCAGCAAGCACTAACTTTCCCTACTGAGTTATCTCCCACACCTCCTCCTGCTTAAATAGGTCTCACATTCTCGCATAAAGTTCAAAGTGGCCTTGAACTCCGGATCCTTCTGCCTCAGCCTCCTAAGAGAGCTTACAGGTATGCACTCCAATACCTAGCCAATTGTTTTGTTATTCTGAGACAAGGTCTTGTTACTGTGCAGCCTAGGCTGGATCTGAACTTATGACCCTCCTGCTTTGGCTTCCCCATTGCTGGGATGACAGTCCTGTGCCACCATATCCAACGCGCCTGTCATATTTCATCTGAACGGGAATCTTTGAGGTGGAGTTGACAGTTTCTCCACTGTTCCCTCCGCCCTTGGCTGTTTAGAAGCCGCCCTTAGCACATTTATCCTGTGTTGTGCCCCGACAACAAGCCTTATGCTAGGGACTGGAGTTCCAGGTGGGAACACTGAGTGTGAGGAGAGAAAGGAGGCCCAAGCAGCCCTGGTTCCGACTCACAGCTCTCCCTCGAAGTGCGCACCATCGGTTTCCAGTCTGAAGAGTTCTGTCTCCTTGGGATTGGTTTCCAGAAAGCAAAACACATTGCCTTTGTTATTATTAAAATTATCATAAGACTATGATTATATTTTAATACTATTTCTTTTTTTCTTCCTTCTTTCCTTCCTTCCTTTCTTTTGACACAGGGTCTCACGTAACCCAGCCTAGCCTCGAGCTCCCTGTAGAACCGAGGATAACTTAAGTTCATAATTCTCCTGCCTCCACCTTCTCTGAGTGTTGGAATTACAGGAGTTCACTACCATACCCTGTTAGAATCAAAGGTCTTTGGATGAGTAGCCCAGACTAGCCTCAAGCTTTCAATCCTCCCGCCTCCCTCATCCCTAGTGCTAGGATTGCAAGTTTGCACCACCACAGCCAGTCCTCCTCCACGCTTTACAAACCCCACAAAGAAACCCGTCCTCTTTGATCTGCAGCTTGGGTCATAATTCCCCACAAAGAAACCCGTCCTCTTTGATCTGCAGCTTGGGTCATAATTCCCCACAGTTCACCTGCTCCTTGTCCAAAGCCCTGCACTCAAGTTCAAGGAACCTAAGCTACCTTTCATTTTCTTGCTGCCTTGTGCTTGAACTCAGCTAGGCCCACCCTGGGTGTTGGAGAGTGTAAATTCTTTTTGCTTGGCACGTCACCTCACTTTCAGGTTGTGGAGATGTAAGACTCTCCCCATCCTGGTCAGTAGGTCATCCTCTTCCCCGTTCCACTCTTCTGACCTTTCTCCCCCGTCTTTGAGGCAGGGTCCCCTGTAGCCCAGGCTTGCCTAAACTTGATGTGTAATCAAGTGTGACCTTGAACTCCCGATCCTCCTGTCTCCACCCTCCAAATGCTAGTGTTGCATCCTGAGTCACCACACCAAGTTCACGCGACGCCAGGACTTGAACCCTGCGCTTTGCGTTTGTCGTGCGGGCCCTGGACCAATGGAGTTACATCCTTAGCTCTTCTCTTTTTTAGTTTGTTATTTTGAGGCAGGGCTTCACATGGTTGAGGCTGGCCTTGAACTCCTGATCCTCCTGTCTCTGCTGAGATGGCAGACATGCACTCCCATACTTAGCTAGGCCTCTTGTTATTAACCTTCCTGCTCCCTCTGACTTCCCCAGATGCAACCCGGAAAACCCCTGCCCCATTTGTCACTGCTGTCCCCCTGTCCAGCTTACCGCACAGGGGCAGGTGCTTGGTCCTGGCCCCAAGCAGCCCCCACCAGCAGCATCAGAGTCCAAGCTAGAGGATCCATGGGGAACCTCGGAGGTAGACCTCAGGTAGAGAGAAAGATTATGGCAAAGGTCCCCAGCCACTTTATAAACACCTGGCCCTCCTCTCTTGTCACCTTGCCATTAAAAAAAAAAAATCACAGAATTAAAGAAGTCCCTGGGAAGTTAAAGTTACCAGAGTTACACTGGAAAACCAACAGAAGGGTTATGGAGAGAAAGAGAGGGAAAAGAAGAAGGGAGATAAACCAGTCCAGGACGTCTAACATCAAACAAAAGTAATTTAAAAAGAAACAACAAAGGAACGGGAGGGTCTCACAGAGCCCAGGCTGGCCTCTGATTCATGATGTATGCCAGGCTAGCCTTGAACTCCTGATCCTCCTGCCTCCAAATTCTGGGATTATAACTGTGGTAGGCCAGCTAAGAAAACACAAGAGAACTGTCCCCAAACTGAAGCACCCAGATCTCTAGATTAAAAGGAACCTAGTACCGTGGATTCAGAGAGCCACAGAAACTACTTTGTGAAACTTCAGACTATCAGGGCCAATGGGAAAATCAGGAACCCTTTTAGTTAGTAAGGAACAAGTCACATACTAAGGACCAGGGATCCTCATGGCCTCTGTTTCCTTAGTAGCAACCATAGGTTCTAAATGCAGCAGAACAATAGCTGCAGAATTCTGATGGAAAGAATCATTCAGACCTAACATTCTACAACTGGAGACAGTGAGATGCTGTTGGGGGCCAAGTGAACAGCTGGAAATAATGAGGAACAGAGAATTGAAGGACATACTCATAGAGGAAGAAATGCAGGTTGCCAGGAAACATTGGGAAGGGTGTGTGTGTGTGTGTGTGTGTGTTTGTGTGTGTGTGTGTACAACTTGCAGGCATTGTTCTGTCCTTGCACTGTGTAAGTTCTAAGAATCAAACTCAAATTGTTGGGCTTGGCAGCCAGTTGAGCCATCTTGTCGACCCCTGTTTCATTTTTCTAAGACAGTCTTATAGCTCAGGTTGGCCTCCAATACTTCATTGTGAAGTTGAGGCTGGAGTGCCACCATGCTAGTTTATGTGGTGTTAGGAGTCAAGCTCCAGGTATCATGCCTACTAGGCAAGCCACCCACTCATGAGCTTCATCCCCAAACCTTTTGTTTGGTTTTGCAGACAGGGAGTCAGTCACTCTGTAGCCCAGGGCTAGCCTGGAGCCATCCTCCAAATTGCCTCAAAAGTGTCTATTCTCCTGTCTTAGCCTATAGATGTAAGTCACAAAACAATCCCACACCAGTTTGGAATTAGGATTAATAAAAGGGTTATTTATTTAAGGGGAAAAACTTACAGATCACCGTCCTACACAAAAGCCCTCTGCGCGACCAGAAGCAAGAGAGAAGAAAGAGAGAAAGAGAGAGAGCAGGGCTAGCACTGCTTTTTAAAGCAAAAGAGACCACGCCTAAGTGGGCTGGTATCTTAAAGGCTATTGGTTGAAGGAGCAGAAGGAGCTTCTGTAGCACTCCCCCTTTTAAGTAAGCAAGTTCCAAACGTGATACAAAACAATATACACTAGGAACAGATATCAAGTATAAGATTAGAATTACAATCAGCACAAACAATATTAAGCAAGAAACATATGCTAAATGTTTTAATAAACATTCTATCCTAAGGAGTCTAAGTCTTATATTGGAAATGACTTGGCTAGATCATAAGAGGACGGTGACTATGACTATCTAATCTTCAACCCCATCAAAGGCCTGAGAAAAGAGATAATATTACTTGAACAGGCAGGAAGTTCAATCAAGTAGCTTCCAAAGAGAGCAATATATGACAGAGACAACTAGCTGCCTGAGCAATCACCCAAAGTCTCATTTTGCAATGTTGAAGCAACCAACTTTGGCTGTGGCCTAGCATAATTGACAGACCATTTTCAGAGGTAGGAAAATTTTCAAAACCATCTTATCCTGTCTTGGCAAGATTTGACAGTCCTGCTTATCCATTTCCAGATACCATGTAACTTGTCAGTGGTTGAGGCCTTGTCAGTTCCTTGCCCAAAGGCCAGTTTTCCCAAGAAGAAAACAAGCTCCAAGTGGAGTATCTTTGGTGCTCAACATTCTCTCGGGAATAGATTGGTGCTGTCAGGAGCAATCATGTCTCATGTCAACAGAACCCTAAGTTATTTAAACGCCATGTTCCACAGATTCTTGAAGTGGTTGAAGATTCCCTACCTAGACAGAATACAATCTCTATGTATCTAAAGAACCTAATTGATCTGACTGTATGTACAGCAAGCATGAACACTATTGACCTATAAAAATTGATACCTGTATAACTTAAAGACTAAAACTTCATGTCAGAATATTTTTTTAAATATTTATTTATTTATTATGTATACAATATTCTGTCTGTGTGTATGTCTGCAGGCCAGAAGAGGGCACCAGACCTCATTACAGGTGGTTGTGGGGCCACCATGTGGTTGCCGGGGGAATTGAACTCAGGACCTTTGGAAGAGCAGGCAATGCTCTTAACCGCTGAGCCATCTCTCCAGCCCCTTCATGTCAGAATATTAAATAACCTGTAAACAAATGTGCAGCAAATGAGGACAATGACCTCAAAATGTAAACAATATATAAGTATCTTCATCAGAGGTAGGAGTAATATATAATGCAATATAAAAATATATCTTAAAAGTTGTATCAATATACAAAATGTCGCTGGGCGGTGGTGGCGCACACCTTTAATCCCAGCACTTGGGAGGCAGAGGCAGGCGGATCTCTGTGAGTTCAAAGCAAGCCTGGTCTACAAGAGCTAGTTCCAGGACAGGCTCCAAAAAAAAAAAAAAAAACTACAGAGAAACCCTGTCTTGAAAAAAATATACAAAATGTCCTAAACAGAGATAATAGCATACATATATACAATCTGACAAAATAACTTTGTATAGGTGTACAAATAATGTAAACAAAAGTAACAAATATAATTTGAACTTGTATCAGTATACAATACTATACCAATGTAAATTATCCACATAGCTCACAAGTATTCACTCTATTACCCACTATTACTATCCCCCCGCTTTTCAACAAACATAGTTTTCACCCCAACCCTCTATCTAGTACAAGTAATAATCAACAACCCTAAACAGTGTTCCCATCCCTATGAACAAACTTTTATGGGATGGGGGCGTCATCTTCTAGAATTGCTTCCTGCTGTCATGGGGGTGACATTCTCTTAATGGGATCCTGCAAAATTAAAGTGATGGTTAAGTTTCAAAATTACTCTATAGTATAGTTGCAGACAATTTCCGAGCATAGGGTTTTTTTTTTCTTTCAAAGTTCTTATTTGGAGTTCTGGCTAGAATGACATGAGAAGGTGCACCATTTCATCAGCTGGTACTCCCCCCCACACACAAAAGAAGCAGTCTTATAACAACGCTGTCTGTGCCACGATGTCATCTCAACTAGGTAGAGTTGTTGCTGTGGGGCCCCATCTTCTTCCTGGAAACTTCAGAGATTACTGCAGGAAAAGGATCTGTAGGAAAATCTATTGTTCATCATGAAAAACTTAAACATCATTCACATATACCTACATTAAAGGAAGAATATGATATAGACAAAAAAGGCAGGAAGAAAGTAAAAATTTTTCCTAAAGTCTTTCTTCTGTCCCATACCAGATGGCTCCTGATATGAGACAGGAACTCTGAATGTTCCTTTTAACAACATGCTTGGATTTAGAGAAATACAGAGCCAACTCCAAAACCAGCTGAATATATTAATGTGTGTGTGTGTGTGTGTGTGTGTGTGTGTAAATGTAAATGTAACCCATACCTGGATTCATAAACCATATTCTGTTTTCTAGATGCTCCTTGGTGGATAGTTATTTTTTTCTTCTGTCAGCATTCAAACATCCAGGGTCTCCTGAATTTTTGATGATGTGTATTTTCCTGCAAAGATTAGAGCAGATCCCTGCCCCAACCCTAAATGGCTTTCCTTACCATCTGTATGGTTGTCACCATTGTGGATGAGCTGTCATTTCTGTTTCAATAGGTTTCCCCTTTTCAAAGCGAATCTTTATTAATTTTGATGGTATCCATAAATTTTCTTCTCCTGTGGAAACAAGAGCAAAACCCCTTCCCCAATGTAGTACATCTCCTGGTTTCCATTGTGAGGTCAACACATCCTTGAAATAAACTGGTTGATTCAATTCAGAAGTTTTTTCCATTATCTAATGCCTCTCTGCTGCTGTTGTTCCTTTCTCATTAGTGTTGAGAAAATTCAAGGTTAATAAAGCTTATGCAATCTATTTCTGGGGGTATTTTCCATCCCTTTTGGTTTATTCAGCATATCCTTTATAGTACGACTTGACCTTTCTATAACTGCATGACCTGTAGGATCATTTGGTATACCTGTAATGTGCTTTATATTATAATAAGCAAAAAAAGTTTCATTTTTTTAAAATACATATGCCAGACCATTGTCTGTCTTTATTTGTGCAGGTATACCTATGATGGCCATAACTTCCAGTAAATGTGTGATTACTGAATCAGCCTTTTCTGAGCTCAAGGCAGTAGCCCATTGAAAACCTGAATACGTGTCTGTGGTGTGGTGTACATACTTTAATTTACTAAATTCCGTAAAGTGGAACACATCCATCTGCCAGATTTCATTCCTTTGAGTACCCTTTGGATTACTTCCTGCAGACAATGGTGTTTGATTATAGAAAGAGCAAGTAGGGCATCTCTTTATAATGTCCTTAGCTTGTTGCCAAGTAATGGAAAATTCTTTCTTCAAGCCTTTGCTATTGACGTGATGTTTTTATGAAATTCTGAGGCCTGCAACACACTTCCAATCAATAATTGATCAATTTCTGCATTACCTTGTGCTAGAGGACCTGGGAGACCCCTATGGGATTGGATGTGTGTTATATACATAGGACAAAGCCTATTTCTGATTATGTCTTGCACTTGGATAAACATTGAAGTCAATTCTGTATCATCTGGTACAAATTCAGTGGTTTCAATATGAAAGATAACTCTTTCTGCATATTG